TATAGGCCACAATCTAAACTTTAACAGCGGGACAAGATTACCAATCAGCATGGTAACAGGATAACGGCAATTTAATTGTTGTTCTGTATACGAGCCAGAATTCAACGGATTGGAAAAGATCTCGACAATAGAAACGAGTGACGCGTACTGCGAGAGAAATTAAGTATGCATCGCTGGTGAGGTCATGTTTGCTTAGGTTTATATTAGGAGTTTTGAAGTCGAGGTCAGTTTCTCCAGGCAGCAGGAGTCATGCAGCAAGCTAACCGGTTCATCGCAAATGAAAACGAGACAATTGATTTAGAACAAGAATGGAGCAACAACGTACAACAGAGCAACGATAACCTTATTCGAGTAGGAAGAGGACGAGTTTACTGCACTGTTGAAAAAGATCGTAAAACATGTAAATAATCATTGTGATAGAATAATCGATCTAAGGTAAACGATGCATACACGCCATATAAGAGAATGACTAGAGATGATGCAATTAATATAGCAAAGGCTCAGAGGAATTAGAACTAAGCAACTATAACGACAGGTTCGTAATTAGGCCGTATTCGATATCAGATTCAGTGTAACACGAACCGTTGGCTGATAAGATCACTGCGCAGAAGCAGCTAGATAGTTGGGCTGTTACCATAAATGATCTGATCAGCTAGAGCAAAGTAGGACAACAATTAGTTGATAGTCGAGTTATTCGAATGCAGAATCAACTACCTTTCTACTACCTTAATACTAAAGTTTCAATGATATAAAAATGAAAGCCACGCTTTAATTATGCGAACACGTTTAAGGACACTAGGACCACCTAATGTTTCGAACGCCACCAGGCCGAAATTTGCTAAGCTCCAGTGCACAGCCTACGCCTTAGGTACGGCTTATATAGAGCTGTAAGTTTAATGAAGAAATGGGTACCGGACATAAAACAGCTAGAATGTCCCATCATATATGGCTTATCTGCTTCGGATATGTGCACGGAGGTCACCTCAGCTCTTGCCATCACTTTGGTCGATGCCCCGACATTCCTTGATACAAGAAATACCAGCTACACGTCCGTATTGCTCAGGATGTCATTTATTATCTAACGAAACGGGAGAGTGACGTCTGGTCTATGCTTACAGGCAATATCATGCTGAGTTTACGACGAAACCAAATCCCCAAATAGAATAACCCTTGTCAACTAAATATGCACATCTAACTTAGGTATAGTGATATAACATAAGTATAACGACATATTCGAAAATACGAACTTAACATGGACGTATATATGTTCACTATTAAGTTGTTTTCATTGATTTTACTGTATAAAACACATATTCAGCCATTCATTTTGACAAATTATATAACTAACTTGTACAGCAGAGCAGGACGTTCATGACAGCCATCTATCCTCTATGGCTAGGAATATTTATTTTAAGTTTCTTCCAGATTGAGCTATCCTGTATTGTTGCATTTTTAATGACATGCCTTATTGTTTATTATGCTTATTTTCGCGAAGCATATCTTCTTTGCCTGCTCAATAAACCTAGTAAAATAAACACTCGGAACAGAAGTTTATATTCGAAATAGATTTGGTGAGATTGCCATTTAGTGAACTGTTACTTTTTAATAGCGCAAAATATTTATTGAAAACTGACGATACCCTAGGGCTCTCAGCTGGCAGTATCCAGTATACTACTAAAATTTTGTATTTCTTTGTTTGTTGGTTGATTGTCCGAGCCAAATCAACCCATCCGTATGGTCAGACTGGGCTGATTTTTGGCGGGTCGCTAAAAGGACCATCGTGAGAAGGGCTTTTTCACTGCAATGAGATGTTCGTTTGGCAAAACGCAATGCTTAACAGTTTGCTGCAGTATTTTCCCATACTTGTTTATGAGACGATTGCAGAAGATGAGGTGTTCTATTCTTCGAAGTTTTTGTTGAATCGTTTTCGACTGACAAAATGGTAGTCGATTATTTACATGGACGTCTATTACATATTATTTACATGCCTGTTGTTTTTAATACCAGTCGAAAGCTCTCGCTGACGTAGATCAAAATGCAATGTATATACACCTATACCCAAATTTTAGTTTTCAGGTAAAAATGCCCCCGAAGGACTAAAGCTAAATACGGCGCCCTATGCGTGCGCATATATAGATCTCAATAAGATAAGTAAAATGCAATACACACCCCCTATCCCTAAAATAAATATTTTGATGTGAAAATGGTTAGAAACCTATTAAGAGGTTTGCTTCGCTCACCACAGATGGATGAAAATGTGTTCCGCGTTATTCTTTTGTTTTGTTTTGTTTTTGAGTGAAATTCTGATAAATATCAATTGGAAAATCGTAGCCTTTTATATAATGAATATTTTAGTTGAACAGTTTTCTTTTTTTTTCGAAAATGTGCTTTTGAAATAATTTTTTGAAGAAACATAAAAAAAAATACTACGCAAAAACAACTTTGTAGACGTGAATTTCTTACACTAACTGATAGATCTAGATCAACTGAGTAACAATGAAATGAATTTTTTTTTGCTAGAAGTCGTTGTGGAAAAGATATTTATAGGTGCCCGTCGAAAGCTACCGATAGGCTGGACCTGTATCGACCGAAATACCAATTTTCAGGTTGAAAGTGCGTCTGAATGAAAAGAGGAAACTTAACATACGTAGAATTAATTTTCGTTAAAGTGTTTCCCTTTTTACTTTTTAGAGAAAAAAACCAAACATGTCACGAAAGAAACGTAAATATTCGTTATGAAAAGTTAACAAAACATATTTAAGTTTCGGTGACGTCTGGTGGACCAGAATAAATACATCAAACAAAACCTATTAATAAAGAACAAAATATATATATGTTTAAAAAGCGACGTCCCAGGAACAGATTCAATACATTAGCTGTATCTATCAAAGGTCGTTCGAAAACTGACTCGATTCACATACGTCTCCCAGAGGTCCGCTGCCGTTCCAGAAAGAGAATCAATCAGCTAACACTGAAAAAAGTCCCGTAGTTACGTTGTAGAAACCCACAAAAATCCAACATATTGCAAAAGAGACAAATCTAGAGTCGACTGAGCTACCTAGTAAACGTATTAAAACATGGTGATAAGATAATGCAGAAGGATAACAGGTTAAGTGGAGCAGGGAATTATAGTGCGGTAACTGTTAATGTATATTTATTTTGTTTACGTTAGGTTGGGTGTAATATTAATAAATCAAATAAGTTGACGGCAAAGCGAGGAGCGAGTAAAGCCCGCGAGGAGCAAGCAAAGCCCGCGAGGAGCGAGCAAAGCCCGCGAGGAGCGAGCAAAGCCCGCGAGATCGTCTAGCCCATATACTATTGAAACTCTCACTCTGTTTATTTGACTGATCCAAATCGACTCCGTAGAATAGCGGAATTAACCTAATTTTCTTTTCGAATAGCCAGAGTTTCATTCTGAGTTTTTTTTCGCTTAGAGAGGCTTTTTTTTTTTCAATTAACATTAGTTGGGGCAAACGGGTCGTTTTGCGCTAATTATTCAACAACCGTTGAGGTTCTGAGAACTGTTCATGTCACAGAACTGTTCCTTCAAGCTTTGAGAAATGGGCGATGCAACATTAAATTCGCTTATAATGTGGACGCTTAGGTGATGGTTTGTGCCGAAGTAGCTTATAAATCATGTTTTGTAGTTTGGCGAATAATTTCGTTCTCCTATTAGAAGGCATAATGTTATTGTGTGAAGAAATATAAACTGTTTTGGCATACATTTCATATTCATGCATTAAATTTATACTTTTTTTAAGTGACGTGGCTATCGAGATCACGACAGCGTTCCAGTGGAAAATTAAAAGTAACTGTAGAAGGGTACGGGGTAAGGGCCCCAAACTGGCGCCCCGCGCACACTCAGAGATTAATTTTATTTGTATAGGTGAGGTAAAACTTCCCGTTAGGTTTATATTAACAATTTCGAAGTTGAGCTCAGTTACTGGAGTAGCGAGGTACATGCAGTGGGTTAACAGATTTGTTGCGAGAAACTATCGAAGTTACTGAAACATCCCTTTCAGCACGGTAACGTATTATTGGAGGAGAACTATAGAATAATGGTGCCAAGATAATTGAAACACGAACAATAAGTAAGAAATTGACGAAATTATAAAAATATGACTACTATAATCGGACAGTTGCAATGGAATAACAGCATTAATACAGCAAGAAGATGAAGAAGAGAGAAGTTTGGACGCACGTCTATAAATGTCCGTGACTGAGTAGTAATCGGCGTTGGAAATTAGGACTAGAACGGACGAAATATTAGGACTGGCAGACGAGATAACTGTAGCGTGGCATCTGGAATAGTTAAACAACGATAGGGTCGACCAAATGCAACGGGGTAATTATTTTTAGTAGATTTACTCAATCAAGAAAAGTAATTACTGTCACAGAATAAGGGAATCTTCTGCGCAAATTTCGACTGCAAATCGGTAGAAATGTAAGTTTGTTGTCGACTTGTAGTTTACATCAGGCTAGGTGCAAGGCGGAGCAAGTTCGTTATGTTAAATATAACATCAAAGAATCAAATTAGTTAAATCAACAATAAATAAAACGCTAGGCGAAGCGCGCAAGTTCATCGAGTCAGAAACAATTTTTGAAGTATTTCCTTGTAAGACGCGGTTAACACGGGGTGCTTTCAATACTGAAACTCCATCAGCTTTCAAGGGTTTAAGTGTGGCCATGAAATATACATGAAAGCTGGCTAAGGCTAACTTTCTCTGCGCAATAGACAAGAAAGTGAACTATCTTTTAAGTTTAAGAGTTTAAGACTGGCTATCCAGTCCGTTGCACTCAAAGATATCCTACAAATCACATTTCGATTTTAAACTATGTATGTTGAAGGTTCGGTAAGTCGTATCACAGGAGGTTACCTTTTTCATGTGCTATTGGTAACAAACGTATTAAAGTAACTCTAGAAACCTTCAACTAGAAACCACAAAAGATTTTCTTTCCTGTTGCTTAATCTGAATACACTGAATAATAAAGCGCACACGTCTTATGGCTAAAGCATTGCGTTTATTTTTGGCATTCCTTTTTAACCTGTGACTGGCTCATGTGAATTTGGTCATTTATTTATCTACGAGGAAATTATTTCTAACACTTCTCCCTACTTGATGATTACAGATTGCTAATTATGTTCTCCATAGACAAACACAATTCCTGACATAGGAGTTATTATGAATTACCGAAGCTGTTCGCGGTCTGTTTGCAATGAATAGCTTGAGCTACTTTCATCTGTTCAGCTGCGGTTGGAGCTATTCATTAAATGAGCTGTTTCTGCCCCTCGAGTTTGGGCACTTCGGTCTCCGTTTGAGGCGCAACGCCCTTTACGGACAGTGGTGCAGCAACAGGTTTGTTAATGACAGTGTCAGCGGCCGCATCTCCACTCAGTTGTTTTGGTAGGGTTTTCAACGAATTAAATGTTTGCACGACTGGTCCGGGTACGGTCATCTCAGACTCGCGTTGCGAAGCGATTAAAGGTTGGATGGGAATAGCCGTCTGCGTATTTGCGGCAGCACCCACAGAATGAGATGTAACCGTGGCAGCTGATCCAGGCTCTTGCAGCGACATTACACTCGTGGCTTGTGAAACGATAGGAACTGAACTAGTGACAATGGCTGGATTCACCGACTTCGCTGTGATAGTAGGGTGATCTAATTGGGACACCACATGAGAAGTAGGAACATGAGAGGCATTAACATCGTTCGGCGAACCGATAGGGCTGCCGGTTGGGTCAATGCCGGACGTAACGGGTGGAGGTTTCGCAGCTTCGATAGTAATCTGTCCTGAAATTATAGCGGCGGCTGGTTTTTCCGCAACGGCCGGTCCATGGGAAGATTCGGCCGGCACTAAGGGGACGATTATTTGTTGGCTCACGTCAGGCTGAACAGTAGACGGGACTTCTTGCGCAAATATTTTAGTGACTACGGCGGTTACAGGTACTTCGGGAGTTGCGGCCATGCCTGTTGGAAGCTCAGGTGTCAACTCCAGTGAATCGGTTGGTTTTCCTTGGCTAACTGGGGAACGTTTTGGCAGTTGTTCGGCAGAGTAAACGGGAACGTCTTCATCAGCCGGTTTCTTGGGTTTTTCGTGAAGATTTTCTAGATCGGTATTCGTAGTTACAACGGGCTTCAGAGCAGCCTCAGGGAACGACGTTGTTTCTGCTGCAATTTGTGCATTGCTTAAAGGTTCACTCATAGTGGGCAAAACGGTTTGTTGAGTTCGCTTTTGGTTGCCGCTCAGCTGTTCGACCTGATTAATAGCTTGAGAATGATCAATAGTCTCCACCTTTTCTGCTCTGGCCTGAGCCGAAGCCTGCAGCTCGGGCACCGAAGCTTCTGGTTTGAGTCCCTTTGGGCTGAGTTTGGCTACGCTGTTTAACGTGGTAAAGGAAGTATCTGGAGCAGCTGTTGCTTGGGTGATTGGCGGTTGAGAAGTCGATGCTATGGACGGCACAATAGTTGTACTAAATGTCACGCTCTGCATATCTGACCTACCTTCAGCGGGAGCTGTAACTGCATGGACTGTGGGAGACGCTGGCATCGTGGTCGTGGTACTAAGCGAGTTTTCGATTTTCGGACTTTTTGGAACAACCGCAGCTCTTAAAAGCTCCGGTGCCAAAGTAGTAGAGCTACCTGAGGTGGGCTTGATTTGTGGTCGTTGCCTACCGATATAACGCTGCAACAAAAAAGTTATCGTTACCAATTAAAATAACAAACGCTTTACAAGAATTCCTTTACAAATACTCCGAACCAAAATTTGTTTATCTATACAGGGTAAGCTATTTACAAATGGACCTTACTATTTCCGTAAACACGCAGTCACCATGTACTTAATAGACAAACTGGCCGTATACTTGCAATTCTCAATATTAAATATTAATAAATATATAAATAATAATAAATAGTATAAAAATAATAATAATATATAATAATAAAAAAATATATAAATAATCATAAACATCAAGATTAACTGTAAATTATAACCTTGAGTCTTGTGCAGGCAGTATCCACATAATTATCTATTTCGTCCCAGAAGCGCTCATTCTGTCGGATTTCATCCAGTTCCGAAAATATGCTCTGCCGAACCTCGTAGGTGACGAGTGTGGGTACAACAAGCCGTCTTGCTTTGCCCTCCTTAAATAAGGTATTCTCTTTGACGCCAACCGTATTGAACAAGACAAGGAGAGGGGTCACGATATTTTCTGCCACGCTGCCTGAAATGATGTGAAGTAACATTAGAGCGGACAAAAGCTACTACTAAGAATAACTTGAATATAATTACATCTCATATATTTAAACTCAGTGACCCGTGTTTAACAACAACGAGATAATTTTCACCGTTTTGTATGTGAAACCCTTCTAGCCTATAAATTATCCATGATTATAAATAAAAACGAAATAGAGTTGACGAAATATGCTACAACATGAATTCAAACTTTACTGTTGACTATATATATATATATATATATATGTAAAGCAACACTTACTAGGCAGCGACTGAGTGACATCCTTGACATAGGCTGCAGATTTCAACAATTCCGATACCCGTGTAATAAGGCCCTGCGCTTCTGAAGAGCCCCCTTCTGCATGAGCTTGAAGAACATGGTCTACACCAGTAAGATCCTCGACAGATTTCTGCTGGGAATGCGGCACAGGATAAGCAGGAGCAAATTCAAGCTCCGCGGTCCTTTGATTTACGATCGATGTTTCCTGGGCCTGAACCGCAGCCTTGACTGCGAGACTTCCTGATATATCTGGTACAACTTCTGCAACATGACCAATGATAAATATAATGTTGTAGATGTTCGGATAACATATCACTGATCTGAGAGTTAGATTAATGTTTGCTTGTGATTCGATAACTTCTACAGTTTATTTTTGATATATATTTGAAAAAACATCATGTTTTAAGTTTCCCTCCAAATCTAGATGTTTAACCAGTTTATGAAATCTCATATTAGAGGTTTTCATCTTACTTAAACAAATAGCATATGACACATGTTTGTACGCACCTACTTTTTATCTCTTTATCTATTAATGCATCGTTAAACCTTCTTTGTTGTTCTTATAATCTGACATAACTTTGTTGGATCAACCTAATTAGAAATTTGGCATACTTTCGTCGAAGCTTCTCACTCCGTTCAAATCACTTTCAATCACATCTTTTTTTATTACTTTTTCCTTTTTCTATTTCACTCTTCCTTTTCCTTGTATGCAGATCTTCAATATATATACGACGTCATCATCAGATACATTGCATATATCACATAGGCTGTATGTTCTAGAACTTACCTTGAATAGCGTATTGTTTGCAAGTATCTGTTGCATCCTAATCGATGGATCATAACTGTCGTTTATACCCATGAAAGCCCATTTGACCTGCACTATTTGAGTGCTTTTACCCTTCTTAGCCCATACGTTATTGACGTAGTTTCTTCCCTACTTCTTTGTTGGTTGCATCGAGCCCGGTGACGTGCATTAGATAAAGTATGGCGTCATGTAAAAGATGGTACCCGGGTGCCAAACTGATCGGATTTCGAAGTAATAAGTTTTTTAGGCTTTGCAGGGGTTATTCCGGTAAATCGCGCTTAGTGGATCATTGCTCTTTGTCCTATAAGATCCTTACTAACTACAAAAAACTGAGCGCTTCTCAAGCTAATAGAAGTTTCACTTTTTTTTTTCTAACAACTTTTACTATTCTTAATGGGTGGACAACATCTCGAAGTCGCCTTTTTACCATGGTATCAAGGGATAGTCCCACATTTAAACCTCGCGATAAACTGTTAAAAAAAAATTAATCGTTGCGGTTTATTCCAGTGGAATCTGGAGCGGTATTTAGATAGGTATCGTTATGCAGCTTTGCATAATTCGCATATTCAAATACGGAAATATGTGCAAAATATTTTTGAGGAGATTTTTCCACCGTCACAATGAGGGATGTATGTGCAGCATGCCATCCGTCTAGAGTGGCGAAAGACGAAGAGTATGAAAGAGAAGAAGAAACCTAAAAGCCACTAAAATGCGGGCGTAAATGGTGCAGAAGACATAAACGCCTGCACAAAAAAATTGTGGATATAACTTGAGACATCACACATCGCTAGAGAGACCTAACGAATAAGGAGAAAATATTTCCTAAAAGAGGAAAATGCTCCCACCTCCTTAAAGAAAACACCGCTCATACATGGGATACGCCTACAAGACCGACTGTGTGAACCCATGGCACTTCCCAGTGTCTTAAGACTTAGCAGTGTCTCAAGAGTCTTAAGAGCCAAAAGCTGTAAGGCACTCGTAACCGAGAAAGTCGTTCCGGTGATTGCTGAGCCGGTGGCCTTCACGCGAGACTAGTACCATAAGACTGACAAAAAGCAGCTCCTCATTGAAGGGAATACCAACAAGGCCAGAGGAACACGCATTTGAAGGTCGCGTGGAAACGTGCACATCACCGCTTCCGTAGTATGCGTAGTAGTGCCTCGTCACTGCAATTGGTGGCAGCGAAAAGAAGGCGAATTGTTCAAGGTCAGGTAGTAGTCATTTCAAAGGTAGATTAGCTAGAAGGCTAAGCTGTAATGCTAAGGTCTGTAGTGGAACGCTTGACAGAGCGGGCGGAGGAAGACGCGCTGCCCCTGAATTTACCACTACTCGTGGACTGAGAAATAGATTAAAACGTCGGAGACAGCAGCAAGTGTCTATGGTTGGTTGCATAAGTGCATGCTCAAGTTTGTTTATACACTTCTTCTGGGCCTAGCTCAGCATCGATCCGAATCGTTTGTAAGCAGCACGGGGATGACACGGCGTAAATTCAAGACCCATATATTCGAGTAGTTCTTAAGAGAAGCACCGCCGCACACGGCATACTACGCATGTGTCTATAGAACTTAAAAGAACATTTATCCAAAGAAAACGTTTCTCATTAGAACATTTCAATTGCTCTTTTGGTTCGACATGGAGTAATGGAATCATGCCGAGGCGACGACTTGATGAACCATCTGACTGTAGCGCAGCCGTGAAGCTGTGCTCCATGCGAAGCTTGCGAGCGACTACCAGACACGTCTATGTGTAGTTGGAATCGGACCGTTAATGGGGTCAGCCACTAGCATGTTAAATAGCTTGCAGATCTATGTATGCTAAGGTCCAGAAAGTCGTCCCGAAGAGAGGATTGCATCGCAAGTAACAACGAGGTTCGATACATTATTGTGAAACGTAACAAACAATTCGTTCCAGATAGTACCCGGTTTGAAGCTAGGAGACCTTAAAGCGGCAAATGTCCGAAAAGCGTGACAGAAGGAGCCACGAAATTATTGTTAAATTTAATAAGATGCTCCTGGGTAGATACTCGTCAACGAGCTCCTGTGTCAAATCAAAGGGAATACAGCGCTATTGCGTTCAAATTTAAGCCGCAATTATGTTACGCCACTCCGGGAAGACAGGTAAACATGCAAGCCTCCAAAAATCGTACGTCGGTTACTAAAGCGCTTCCATATCGACTCCAGGGTATACCTAAGTTGGAAGAGCGTGGCTTGGTGTGAAAGTTGCCAAAATTTAAAACCTAGAGGCTAAACGTTCCCGTAAAGACTCTGCCTGAAGGGAAGCTCTAATTTGAGAAGCAAAGCAAGCGGGTGCACAAAGCGTCCAGGTGTGTACGCCCAAGCGTCAATGGGTGCCGCCTCAACGATCGAGAAGAAGCATCTGGTTTGAGTACACAGACTTCCAAGGAAAGAGTAGCCCTGAACGCAGAAGGTGCTAGATGTTACATTGGAACATCGACATCGGTGACATGATCGAGTGTGACGGCGTGTGCTAATATTATATCTAATTTTAAATATTTTCGCCGGTATCGTATATATATATATATATATATATATGTATATATATATATATATATATGCACTATTAGTTTGGGTACTAAAAAAGCAGCCACTTACTCAGCAATGAGGAGATTCAAAACGTAAATAAAGATACTTTGTTGACCTACTTACCCCTTCTGGAAAGTTGATTGGCGCCTTGATCGAAATCTTGGATACCTTGCGTGGTTGGGGCCGCTAACACAAGCGCACTAGTTGAAATCACTACACATAACGCCACTGCACGCGCCCTCATTTTTAATACCGGTCGTCTTTGGATTCAAAATCAATAATCAATTTAATTTGTAATTCACATTCGTCTTTCACAGCTTTCATTGATTTCACAGATTTTTGTATTTTGACTCGTCAATTTAGCCTTATTATGCTAACCACCCTCTATCTAGAGCCTAGTTACCATAACTATGTGAACGTATGAGAAAACTATGAGTCACATGCTACTGTAATGTCTTGAAACGACTCTTTTCAAACGAATAAAACAATTGTTTTATATTCGCTTTTAAACTCGAGAAGATGCATGTATTGTAGTTCTAGCTACACATTCTAGTACTGTCGCTATAGCAAACCGTTATTCTTTTGGGCCTACAGTTGCTGGAGTGTTTTGTTGTACTATGTGATCCGTCTGTGTGTAACCTATGTGTGATGGCGCTTTGTAGTGAGCTCTTACCGTGCGTGCGCAGAAGACCGCCGATCGATGAAGACTGACGCACTAGCTTGCTAGTCTGCGGGCTTTTGAGGGGGTAGTCCCATCACCTAGAGGTCTCACTCGGTCCACTAGCTGCTGCTCGGCCGCTCTCGCAGCGGCCAGCGCGCACCCGAAGGAGCTGCTTCGCTGCGCAACGCTGAATCCTCCCTCCCATAAAGAGAATTCACACACTCGCCCTGCTGTGTCTGAAAAGCTGTCGAGGCCGAGGAAGGCTGAGCATGGAGCACGCAGGTTGTTCTTGCATTAGAAGCGCCAGGCGTAGCAGCAGGAATAGCGATTGCTGATGGTGTGATGAAGAAGTAACATTACCTGTAGTCGAACGCCTGTGAAGCTCACGATCTTAGAATGCACGTGAGCCTCTGCTCTGTTTGTGCTGCAATTGGCCGCCTGCTGGCGAAACGAGCCTCGTTTCGATTTTTCTATTTTCTTTATCTCCTCCAGCGGGGGACTGCTACGGGCGATGGGACGAAGAGGGGAACCCTGTTTACCCGCTTAGTTCACAGTTTCCTGACTTCACCTTTGGACCTAAGGTTCGACAAAGAAGACTAGCTGATGATGACGATTTCGATGTCGCGCTAACTGTGATAGGCGAAAGCCAGTTGTGCAGCTTTTTCGTTGATCCTGCATCCGCGGCGCTTGCTCTCCTCTCCAGTGCCCCCCAGGAATGTGATGACTTAGAAAGGGGTGCTTCGGGCGAGTTTTAAAAGCAGAGAAAAACTTTTTAGTTAAATAACCTTAACCCAATGAGTCTATTTAGTCAGTTTCCCGTTAACGATATTCTATAGTTTTTTCTATTCACCGCAAAATTTAAGGGTTGAATAGCCGATTTCGGATTTATTCATGCGAATGCGATGATTGGTATAGATTTTCGGAGCATTGTACTAATTATGATACTTCTCTAGTTTTATTTCTAACTCAAATAAATAAATACTGTTTTTTTTTTTTTTTTTTAATTCAAATAATATTCTGTGAGATCTTGCAAGTAGAAACACCGATTTAAACCTAGAGTTTTTCGACCGCTCGTTTTTTCAATATATATGTATATAACGTCATGTCAGCGACATACGAAAGATATTCATTGTTATCCCCTGATTTACTGACCTCAGTTTATTATTTTCAACAACTTCTTTGAGTTAAAATTAATAGATTTATTGACATAACAACAAAACGAATTGCCGCTTTTTCGAACGATCTGCTCCGGCTACATACACTAGCATGGAATTCGTCGACTAGGTATTACAAAATTCACAATGCAGTGATCGTCCGGTTGATAATTATCCTGCAAACCGCACGTTAGATGGTAAAGCCCATAATTTACAAATCCTGTTATAGAATGGCAATTGGTTCTATTTGGGCGCTTCTATTACCTGCCAGTTATTGCAGAAATCAAGAAAAGCGGCAGCTTAACCTCCGCTATCTTCTAATGTCGACTTGCAATAAGCGCGCTATATGCTTCAAAACCTAAGAGGCAGCTTGTGAAGCCCTTGGGCGAACGTTGGGGCTTTTGCCAACTAATACACCAAACGATTACGAAACAGTGCATGGAGGCCTAGTATAAACTTTACAAACGCTGGTCTGGTCGTGTCTTGTATTGCCAATCTCGTATGGTTAACATTTTCCAGATGACCAGAATCCCGTTTGCTGCGATTACCTCACTAGTAGCCCTCTGACATCTTTCTTGACGGTTTTTAAAAATCGTCCCAACGTCTAAGTGGAACAGTGCTTGCAAACCTTCCTTCCCTTCCAAGCTTCATGGCTAACCGGTGAAAATCATCTTTAAATATAAAAAGAAGGTTCGCAGGAGTGTGTATACACCAGACTATAATTAAGGTTTGATAACAGTGTACGGTTTAATTGCACTAAGGAAAACAAGCTTTTTTTCCATACCCCTATAGTAAGCAAAGCCAAATTGGTTATGTTGCAATTCATATACAGCAAAATTAAGCTTGTAACAGAAAGCTCCACAATTCCCAATGAGTACTGGCGTACAGACCCACTGAAAGAACTCCAGCTGTTAGCACATCTCCAGCCAGCAAAATCGGTTTATTTACATACTGTCACTTAATTTTTCAAAAGTTACACAAATCAACATATGATTCCTCTTTCTTCTAAGTAATGGACATGCAAGAATAGAAAAGTGATTCGTATATGTTGCTCGCTTTATCTACTGTTTTCCTCACTGTGGGAATTAGATAGATTGCAAGAAGTGAACAACCCACAGCTGGAAACCGAAAATTTATTGGTGTTCTTTGCACGGTATTATAACTGCAATTATTCTCTTTTTACATAAAAGCTATCCATCTTATCGTTAGTGATTATCTTATGATCTAGGCTATCCAATCAGCAAATTTGCCTCTGCCATATGAACAACATCAAAACGACTTCATACAAATGCAAGCTACTACAGAGTAGTATGAGGCCAAAGCGACGTGATAACTTTGAGTGATGAATTTCTTAAGGGCAACAAATCCTCAAAACGTTTGTTACTGGGTTCATACCGATCTGACAGTTCGGTAAAAAAATAACCACATTGCTACGTGCTATTACTCTAAAATAATGTTTCATAATTTTCCATCTATTTGTAGACGTACCAACTTTTATACATGCGAAACCAATATTTATCTAGACATCTCTCTAAAAAAAGTATCTCAAAAACTCTACTACCTCGAAACCACGGTACCTCCCAGATGTAGACCAAAACTTGAATTTCGATGGTCGTTGGTAATGCAGTCATACAGCAAAAGGTGTATGGGCTGACATTTTAGCTAAAACCAGCTGCTGGCTCAAAGTAAACTAGTTGATACTAAGCAATGGATAAACTAAAATACCAACAATCAGTTCAAAATAAGAAGCAGGAAACAGCCTCAATACTAAATGTCACATATGTACATACATCAACCACAGTCACTGATGTTCGAGTGGATACAAATGTTAAAGACAATGATGTCTACTATGGTCCCAAGATACTATTCTACACACTAGGCTCAATAAACGTGTCTTATGCACCCAATTGTAACTGTCTGACACTCTATGAAATGAACAGCTATAAAAATCTGAAACTAGTACAAAACAGCCTGAAGTGGGACATATATGTAGGACATACGTTAAAAAATCTATAACTGGAGCTCCCATGTTATGTAAATTCTAATAAATAAACGTAAGTCTAAGCGAACCTGTATATTCTGGTCTCATCAAACTCTACCTAAGATACGGCATTCTTCTGTGTAACGTAAACTTTCATTTGACCATTACACATATTATAGTACTACAAAAAATAAGCTTTATTTGTATGCTGTATACGCACACCTAGCCAAAATCCAAACAGTTGAAAACCGCTTTGATATCAACAAGAGTTTCATTTAAGTATACAGAATAACATAAAAGATTAAGGAAGACCTCAGCCAATATTCAACAAAATTACTTATCATTAAGTCAAGCTTAATCGAGTATCGAATTGTTTATGTTAGAAAAATAATTTGAAAATTTTCGACAAAACATACTACTGCAATATTTACCCCAAAACGCTTCAAGCAACCATTTTGTAGTCACCGTTATTAACATTTTTTTAAAAGTCATGTATGTAGTAAACTCATGCATCTAGAAGCCTTAACTTTTATACATTAGAAGATAGCTGTGAGAAACTGTAGTTAAACATTGACATCTGCCTTTCTTTCATAATTATGATAATTATATACCCATATACCATGTATGTTTAAGTAGAAAATCGTCTGCCATACCTGCCACACAAATCACATATTGCGATATCAATACTTTACTTTATCACGCAAATACGTATATATTGTTAGTTCAATGGGTGGGTCCATTACAATGAAAAGATTGTAACACATGCTAACCAACTCGTTAGATTATACCTTTTTAAAACTGAAACTTACGTTTATTAATTCTAAAACATAGGCGATTAGCTACAGCAACTTTTGTTAGCAACAGTAATAACAGTTATCATAAAGCTATGTGATACTGCGGTTATATAAACAACTAATAAGACAAAAATGGGCTCCTAGAAAATCGATATAATTATTTTATTTTTCAAGAGACAACTGATCCGACCTACTGCTGCACCCTCTTCAAAGATATACACCTCATGATGCCGTGCGGGGGTGAGTAAGATATAGACGGCGGCTGGATGTGACCGGTAGGGGACAGCGATTTCAACTGATTGGATATCACCAAGCGACGCTGCTGTGGGACACTGCTGCTCTGCTCCCTCAGAGTGAAATGAGGGATGCAAATAAACCAGGTACCCAAAAGACGACAAAAAGGAGGAGACAGACACTCTAGGGGCTTCTGGATTAAAATCTAACAAGAACTTGGCCGAGCGATGCGAGAGGCTATTGTTTTATAACAAACTGTGCAAACCTCCATTTGTTCGTGACTCTTATAAAACACGTGACCTACACGATAACCTAACTCAACCAATTTTAGTGCTTATACAAGGATGGTCACCGAACGTTTAGCTGTAAAGGCTAAAGGCACCGAAAGGGCCATCAATTTATTTCGCTTATTATCCTCTTTCAGCTATTTTCTAATAGAAAACTTTTAAATGTATATTGGCTTTGATTGTATAGATCTCATAAAAGCTCTAACCACTTAACCCATACAACGCAATCGCAGTGACATATCTACCATGGCTTCTAAGCGATCGAAATAATTAAACGGATCTTAGTTGCCGTATCATAGAAACACTCAACGTACTTCTTAATCTCTGTCTAGTCTAATAATGGAGACTAGTTAGTGCGTTTAAAGCGACTTCTCGACTCAATTAAACTAACCAAAGACTTATCTAGACGCCAAACTTAGCTTTTCTATTGAGATAAATCGGACGATATAAGTGTCCATGTTTAAACAATATCGCTTTAGATATAAGATATTCACTGTACGAAATAAAACCGTCCAGGTTGTCACAAAATGTACTGCTACTGCTAAAATTAGTCTATTAATTAAGCAAAGAAAGTTAATATTTTTAACCATGTTGCTGCATTTGCTCGTTTGCTTTGATCAAACATCAAATTACTTGTGGCGTAAGCCTAGTTCCAAAAACATTCGAATATATTTTAAGCTAGTCATGCGCTCTCAAATTATTCAATTTTTAATGCAGCTTTCTTTTTAATACTGCTTTGATACCTTAGTTTGAGTTATAGCCTCTATGCGGTTGACATTTTGGTAATGATTGATGTCTTTACATGCAGCGCACCTTCTGTGAGATTATACAAGATTATAAAAAGTAGCGTTACTTTCTTAATCACAACAAATGACATTCCTTGTGAAGAGCTATTTCACATGCTAATGTTTTTAAATCAAGCTAGTTCAAACGTGATAATACTGTGTATATTGACAAGCAAGGGTACCATTGTTTTGTAATGCTTCTTAGGATTCTAACTAGGGACAAAGAAATCTGTCATTTACAACCCGTTATAGTAATAAGGTTGCCAGCCTTGAGATTTGAATCAGGGTGACTGCATGTTTTTTCTTAGGTTACGTAGGCCAACGTGAGGTAAATTAATTTTTTCAATATGAAATATGCGCACTTCTTTTACTTAATCTCCACTGAATTTTCTATTTTGCATCCACTTACATCCACTTCTGCACTAATACTTGTTGTTTAAGCACAAGCAAAATAAAAAGCATGCAATAATTAGATATAACGGCTAAATGGTCACACTTTCGTAAATATTTCTTACTTTACATGCAACCCAAAAAGTTCGTATTGAATTTTTGCTACCGACTCTGATTCACCCCGTTATATATTTCGACTTTTCTTTTCTTATAAAATAAAAAATGAGCAGATTAGAGTTATGCCGACAGAGCGTTGTCTCTGTGGTAGCGCAATGAGTAACATGTTTGTTTACTAACGTTGGAGAAATCTGAGGTGTCCTAGGTTAACATTCGCCTATGGACGTATTCTGCTGTGTGTTGGGAGCGAACTGTCTGAAGCAAAGCATAACAGCTTAAGTACCGGACGTATAAAACTCGAGTGCTACCTAAGCATTAGATTAGCTTATAAAAATCGCCCGCATCTTTGATTACATAATTATACAAGATGATCTAGTCAGTAAGTTATGTTGAGTGATATCAAGGAAAAGCGGACGTTTTTCACTTCTCGCCAAACTCAAGCTTTCTTTTAATGTCTTAGTTGTCTGTCTGGAACCTTGCTCCAGCTAGTAAGTCTAAACGCGGTTCTCTTTTGAAGTGAATTGATAGCCAATCGTTTAATGAAGTAGAGAATTAGCTAGTGAGGTAGAGCCTTGCTTTTATTATCCAAAACTCGTGGCACTTTTTAGTTAACTTAGTATTCACTAAAGTATACGAGGTAGGATTAGAGCTAAGATTTATTGATATAACTAACCATTAAAATAAAATTTCAAAGGTGTGTGAAGTATGCTTATTGTATTTATTGTTTAGTAATAGTATTATCAATATTATTATTATTATTATTATACAGAAATATGGTGCTAAGGGCAGGTGAAATTCGTACCATAACCCTCTAATTAGTATTTCTAACACAAACACTAGGGAAATAATTTTTTGCATCTTTCTTCGAGCAAATACGGTTATTATCTGTTCAACGCCTCACAATGTCAAGAATGTTCATTCTGGATTTTTATTACCTATACCTCCGACATACCTTCGGTTAATTCTCACAATTAGTACGTAATTATACACTATGTATTTTCGTGTAAGAAACAACATTTCTTTAAACTCCGCTCCGTGTATTGTAAAGCGCCTCATGGCAAAATAGCATTTTGCCTATTAAAGGATCTACTCCAGATGCCTGTCGCCTATATCGGTTTGGAGAGAGTTCAATTCTTGCAACCGTTCATCTACCAGCTGATCTGAATAATCAGTTAATTAGATATCAGCATAATTCACGGTGCGGACAAATCTATTCACTATGCCACTCACTCTGATAGCACTGAGCAGTGGACATCTAGCAAATATTGGACGTTACTGATTATGGTTCATTGTGCATCTTAGTAAATGATGGCAAATGAAAAGATTTTTGAGACCATTATTAAGGTGTAGTGTACAATTTGAGAGAGCGGTCCTGACTGACAGATGCAATAAATGAGGCATGCACGCCGAAACGTACACCAGTTGCGGCAGCTGTATGCTCCTGGAAGACATTGATCAGCTCCCACTGCTTGCTCAAATATACGCGGACATCTTGTCCCGCAACAGCCAGATACTGTCCGCTCTGATCGAACGTGAGGTCGTTCACGGCGTAACCATCATCTAGTTGGAGCGTTTTAATGTTTTTCAGTTTTCGAAGATCCCAGATTTTCACTGTGGCATCTTCTGCTGACGTGGCTAAATAGTATCCATTTTCCGAAAAGGCGATAGCTGTGACTGGACCCCAATGTCCGGGGAAGTTCGCCACGTTTTGACGTTCCTTTAGGTCCCAGATCTTTATAAGTGAGTCTGATGTTCCCGTTCCAAATATCAAGCCGTCAGGATGGAATTGCGCAGCTGTGAGTGAGTGGGCATCAACGGCTTGGTTATCCGCGGTCTTGGCCAGCACCTTTCCAGTGCGTATATCACTGAAGGCCCAGTGATCATCCGTAGCAGTGGTGAGCACATAATCCCCTGTGGCATGAAGCGACAACCCTGATATGGGTCCCTCGTGAGGCCGGATTAGTTGGATAGTCTGCGAAGTGCCGAGATGCCATACACGAACGGCTGTATCTGGACTAGCCGTGATCACATGTTCGCCATCAGGATGGAAAATCGTGTGCGTTACCTATTTTGGGTTTGTGAAAGATTCAGTTAGCAGGTTGTTTCAAATTGTGATGAATTACTTATGGTTAGAAAACTCCAACGTGAGAACAGAACTTATAAAGCGGTAAGGTAAGCGTATAATAGAAAAAGCCGGTGCTAGGAAATCAGTTACAGCAATATTAGAGTTTTTATGGGAAAAATACTTACCTTCTTTTGATGCCCCTTGAGTACTGTGACTATCTGCTGCGAATCCTTGTTGTAAACAACGGCATGTTTATCATTACCTCCAGTAACCAGACGCGAACTGTCCCTAGGATTAATGTCAAGCGCGAGAATCCCAGGCGTCGATGATAAATGGAGCGACGTCTGAGTATCCTTTGTTCTGAATGCTTTGACAGTTTCCAGTTTTGTCAACTCTTCAGGCACGTTACGGCCACGCTTTTTACGCTCTGCAGTGAGCACTGTCGCACGGTCTTGTAATTTCTGAAATATGTGCAAAACAGATCCGATTTTGACGTTCCGTCGAGAATTTCTGGACGGTATAACTGAAGAACTAAAAGCATGAGAAAAACAGCCGTACCATCGCCTTTCCTAGATGAGTTCTCGATCAAATCTCATAGTGATAGTTGTGTACAGTCGAACGAGTTATTTTTTCTTGAGTATTCTTTTCTTAAGCTTAAGACCCCAATTACCTATCGCTAGATCAAACCAAATTGACTGTTCCATCTTATATGTTTTCAACCTAATGGCTCTTCTCTAGTATCTTCTTGGCGCCAGTGCTGCTATCGGAAGTATCATACAACAAAAACTTAAAGTTCAAAATTGAAGATTAGGTTAGCGGCTTCAACCCGTAAACTTTAAAATAATAATAAAACACTCTAGCAGTGCCTAAAAACAGCTACAATCTTTTACCATCCTCACAAGGCATATAAGCATGATCGGCTATGATAGCCACGTGCGTAAACCTGATGTAATAAAGCTTACCTGGATAACTTCTGGCCCCATTCCTACCACCTCATCCTTTCCTGCGCCAGCAGCTGAAGGTACTGCAATGGACGTTTCTGAAATTTTGCTGTTCTCCTGTGCCTCCTGTATATGCTGTGGCTGAGCAGCAGCCTGTGGTTTGAGGGTGGCCAAAGCCTCTCGAGCGGCCGTGACCTCCTTTGTGAGACGAGCAATTACGCGACAGGCTGCGTCATGCTGATACAAGGCGTGCGACAACTCCTGTCGAGCTGTGTGCAATTGCTGTCGCAACGAGAAGCTATTCAACATTACTGCGTCCCATTCATCCTAAATTGGTAGAGATTGGATAAAGAGACTTGTGTATTTTTGTAAATGGTTACATTACATAAAACCTTACAAAACTAAACGAAGCTTCCAGATTTTACGCATTCATAACAACTACACTTTCCGACCCTATTTTAAAGATTGTGATCTATATAATAAACCAGCAAAATGAACAATTCTTAGTAGGCTTCGTCTGATATCGTGAATTTGCTCCAGCTTACCTGCAGAGCTTTCAGTATGGCAGGAATACTAGTGAGGGTTGGTGGTCTTGGTTTAACGAGCGGAGGTGTCTTCAATTCGATCAGCTGCTCAGCGCTCATCTCTTGCTGAGTGATTGGATCACATCCATTTTCAGAGATGTACTTAAGGATAAGCCGTTTTTCAAAGACTGAACCAGACACCGGCGATACAACGGGGCACTCCGGTGCCTCGTTACTCAGAGCGCATACCAGCGCCATCGTCCGCTTTTCGGACTCCACGCAGATGCAGTCTTATTCGAATTAGTCAGTTGCACGTAAGGTACCTACAAATTTTTATTGAAAAATCGTCTGAAAAGAAAAAGAATGTAGGTACAACAATAAATCTGTACAAGCAGGTGCACCATTTCGTGTGTGCTTTAGTAGTGCCCACCTAACTATCTTTATCAATCACCTTTTCTAATTCTTTATTGGCTTATGACCAAACGCCAGTGTTTTCTAACGTATTTTTCTGCAAATCATAATTAAATATAATTGACTTCTTCCACGAATGGGTATGCCGGATGGTAAGCCCCAGGAGTTCCGATACCTTCTTTATTTCGCATTCCTTCGAAGATCAAAACACTGTCTTTTAGCTATGAAACGTAGGCTTATTGACGAAATTGCTTCAAAAGTGACTGTACGCAATTCTCGACGAACATCAACATTTTTCAAAAATGTTTTGAGTTTCACAAGCCACATATGAGTAGAAGATTCATCTATAGAATCTTCGTCGTACACGCTAAATTCATGCTAGGTTTATGCAATAGCATTTTGAACTAAATGAAAATCGGGTAAGAAGTAACGAATATGCTACTTTCATCGCCGATATATTTATAGAATCCACGCTAAATCCAATCTACGTTGTTGTGATTGAACAAAATCAAATAAACGGGCTGATAAAATAAGCTCAATGAGATATGGCACTTAGCCATCAGCAAACAAAGTATCGAAAAAATGAGCGCTTGGAAAACGATTATTACTTATGTACCACCTAATATTTATATTTTCAAGAATTTACGGATAACATTATACTCAAACAGGTGCACACAAATATAGACCATATATTAATATAATACCGTGATTATTAAGCGTTTTCAGTACCATGCGAAGTATTTTAAATACCACAAATGAGCTTTAATATGAATACGTTAAGATAGCCCAAATAATAATAATAATCTTTGTTGCCCTTTAATACGAAAACGTGGAATCAGAAATTAGTGACGTATGGAAGATACTAAATTTTCAACTCTTAACATAAGTCGGCAGAATCTAAGAGGTGTTGGAATTAACTCTGGTATAGCCAAAGCTTTTAACAAGTTGATCAAGCTATCTTACATGGGTACGGCAATCTAGCTAAGCGCAAATCAAGGCTTTTGTCCTAAATACATAATTTCTATAATTGTCTGGCGCTGACTTTGATTTTAAGCTGAAGGCATAAATCAACATACCTGTTTCCTGACTAAGACGCCACAACTACTGTCTTAAAGGCAACGGTCAAACACTTTCCTTGTAATCAACAACGACAATAATGTTGTATTCAAAATAGATTCATTACGAAAGCCGTAGGCGTTATACTTACAAACAACATAAAATACATACAAATACACACAACCTAAACTATTATTTATTTAAACTAGATTCATGCGAGGTAAAATAAGGTGAGCTATGCCCAGCACACCCTGTCTACAATGAATATGACGTCGTGATTTGACTGCTTGCTTAAATATTAGCTCTGTTATCGCTTCAAATGACTACCTTTATTATCTTAAAGGAATCATTAATATTAACCTTTGCTGAACTCCGAATCACCGTTCTCACTCAAGGCCACTGAATAGTGCGAACATACACGTTTCGTTGATATAGCATCCGACTCTTCGTCGAATTCTTGTCATGCATTTTGCATTTTTGCAATGAGCAAATGCAAGCTGACACAATGAAATCCCGAGATCTCATTGACGTATGTTTGCTTTACATGGCAACACCGCGTGAACAATCAATTCAATAGAGAGCATGTTTTTTCCATACTGCTGTGCTTGGTTACGAACCCCCACAAGCATGGCATGCTACACTGGCGTCACTTTCTTCTGCCCAGTGCGTAAACTGGTTTATGACTACGGCATAAAAATCAAAACTTCAAATTATAAATAATTTCTCAAAATGCATTAAGAGACGCCAAATTAATACTGTTACGTTACCGCCTAATCGAAATCGCAGAAAAACTACAACGCCATTGCGTGATTGAAGATACACAAACACCAATTCGAAACGCCGGTCAATTAGGCTTGAGAGTATGAGTTTACTTTTTCCATAGCATGATCACTGTAAAATATTGGAATTTTTTTCTGACAAGACCTATTAGGACTACCTTCAACATTTGCCACTGCCCACTTACCCAGCCGATGTGAAAAACTACGTAAAATTTGAAAAAATATGACGTGTACTGTCCAATCACAACAACGCGCCCTCGACGAGTACTGATTGAAAATAGTTGCCGATCCGGATGACACTAGTGGGAGGTGTATGGCGGGAAAATTGAATATCGGCACTACTACACAGGCCTGGGAAGCTGCCTACCTCACCCAACGAAACAAGAACGTGGGCATATTATTTTTTTAAGCCATTCAATTTATTTCGTCTACAACAAAGTGGTATCCTAGCGCTTTTACAATTGCTTAACTGGAGTTGAAAAGGTGTAACTTAGGTTGAAGTGAACAAAGATAAACATGATGTAACAATATTTTATTTTTTTGAAGAAATAAATTAAACATATGATAGCGTTTTAGGGTACTGTTTATTTTTCTGCGACATACGCCATGCAAGGAGCCTCTTATAAAAGTATATCATAAACGAATATTATTAAATGGTTATGATTAAAAATAACTAAGAAGTAAGTTATGCTCGGCCATATTTTTAAAATGCTTAAATCATTTTATCAAAAAAATAAATTGAAAACACCGAGCAGCATAATAAATTCGCAAAGGGCACAACATCGAAGTTCGGCTCGTTGCACAAAGTAGTCTTGCACTACTTGGAAAAGTTAATACCTATTTGATAAAAAGGGGGCAATACTTGGGCCCAGTTGGTAAATTAAGTTTGGAATAACATTAGTTGAATTATTTACGAGCACACTCTTTGAAACAAATCTTAAAAATTATGCGAAACTTCATTTTCAGACCATGCAATCTATTTTTTTAAAGCAGTATTTATCCACTCGACTCAGTAGATTAAAGCAGCGTTCAACAAACGTCCCTTCTATTGAAATAGTATTATTTTTTTCCATGAAAAGTTTTGCTAAAATGGTACGAACCTCCTGCAATCTTTAAGATTGCTTAATAGTCGAATAAGTCGATAGACTAATTTATGGATTATTTAAACGTTAATAATGGCCGTTGACATAATCGCACTAATAGCAGTGATTTCGTTATAAATTAGTTGTGACTGTGTCCATAATTTAAATGCGAAACTATTAGCACTTACGTCTATGTTGTATCAATCGTTTCGTAGCATAATTAAGACAGAGTTATTATATTTTGAGGGAAATTTTCGAAATGTCTGACATCAATATACAAGAACAGTGTGGTATACATATGTTTTATTTGACAATACTGCTTATAGCACTCCTTAGAAGGTAACGTGTCATTATACAGTTTAAAATGCGCTGTTTATGAAAAATACCAGCAGATTAATCTTCGGCCCTTTGACGAGCTTCGTCTCATTCGTTGAGGTAGTCTGGAATAACAATACATACGCAAATATATATATAATTGAATTTTTACTTAATGCTCAGCTGAAACTTGAAAGAGATAGCTGTATGCCGCTTAATTCCTGGACACGAAAGACTACCTGTCTACCTACTGTTTCATGACAGCTTCTCTTCGTTTGCTTATTGAGCCTTTATTTCTCTGCTTTTCTTATTTTTCCTATCTTATGCCATTAATATATAGGACTAACAAACAACTAAATTATCCTTTTCTCAATCTAACGTGTCAGTCTTTTAGTCAGAATCTATATCAAAACTGAAATGGACTATGTAGATTGTACGAGTTGTACGTTTTAAGCGAGAAAATTCATTTATGGTGCGAAATTTTTCCTGTGCCTTGCTTTTGATGACTAACGGCATTACGGCCAGCCACAAATAGTTTGCAATCGATTATTTTAAACTACTTACTCTAAAGCTACTGCCAGTCAACCCAGCTTTGCGCGATTTTATCTTGGATCTGGTAATCAAATAAACGGCTGTAATGCAAAAATTTTCTATGACAATCGAAACAGACGAGCAAACTGTAATGCATAGAAAGCATAAAACACTTTGCAAAGGAGATCGCAGCTGACAGTTAACAATAAACAGGCAAATTAAAAACAGCACCCGACTACATTCTGTCAATAAAAGGCACGGTTTAACGGTGTGCATATGAAACTTTTACATTATCAATAACTCAGACGAATAACAGACAAAGATAATTTGAAAATACGTTTCCCTTTTTGGAGATACAATCAACTTCGCACCAAGTGACTAGAAACGTACCATCGCTTATGCATTGCAAAATGCAGAAGAAAGCTTGGGTAATTGGAAACGAATTAGCTGAGACAAACCCCACTGCGATCCCTACAACATTATTTGAGTTTAAAACTTAGATATCGTGCTATGTATTTAGAAAAAAACTAAACGAAGTAATCAGTAAATAATAACAAATAATCTGTAAAAGCGTCTGGGTCGGAAGATTCTACTGCAATAACTAGACCGGATATGTGGCTAACTTGTCAGCCATTATGCCTTCTAAAGTATCGATGAATGAGTGCTCCTAAAATAAATTTCATGGTTAATAGTTATTAGAAAAGCTTTTGAATTCGAACGAACACTGTAACTTTAGTACTCGTATGGTATAACATTAGTCTATGCCGTTAATTGATTTAAATCCAGTTTGTGAAATAGATCTTCTGTCAGTTGCATATCCGATAACTTCTCTTTAGTGACCTTCTTTAGACTTATAGATTGTCCTAACTTTCTCCTTGATATGCATGCCATTTAGCTCGTTTGCTTTATGCGATGATGTGCCGTTCTGCATATGTTCAACGCTAAGGACCAAATAACAGTAAAAATAAGAAACTCTAACTTTCGTACCTCGGTTGATTTTTACAGTATAAGGTACGTACCGATTAGTTTGGATGTAACTAAATAAACGGAAGCTACGTTTTCTAGACAACTGTGGCGTTCAAGCTCGACGTTTCCAAGATTAGCAGTTATGTCAATATAAGCCAAAGCGGGATCATCCCTCGCATCCTTAATATCTGTCATTGATCGAAAGATATTTGTATTACACGAGGCCTAAGAGGGGAAACGGTAGCTACATTACTTTTAAGCAAAGTTAATATCACAGTTACATCAATGGAGTATAAGTATATAAACTGCAGATAGAAAGGGGCGTTCTTGACCGGCATGGTCAAGAAATGGCTTAATCCGACGATAGACACTTAACGGATAAACGGCAAGTAGGCCATAGGAGGCCGTCCATGGGTCCGATGTGATGATGCTGGCCAGGCTGGAATTGATAACGGTCTAAGGCAGCTAATAGTTGTAATTTACTGCTTTAATAAACTACGGGTTCTTAGTTGCGGCCGGAACCCGTATAAAAGGTGATAATATATAGTAATAAATAATATATAACAATATAATAAGGTATTCCTTTGCGGCTAAAGGAATACAACCGGATATACGATACGAGACGCAACGTATCAGCATTTCGTATCGCCAATAGGTGTTGAACGATCTGAGGAAGACGCTCACGTTTGGCAATAAAACGAGGCTGACTAACCACTCACGCAGAGGATACCATCGTGACCATCGTGAATTCCATAATGACGATAAGCACAACAACGTTCTCACATCAACTAATCGAATCTGATGTGGCATATAATTACTGCAATTGACATCACTATTGCTAATACAACAATATTGTATTGCATTTCAGCTTGCCGCAGTCTGCTGTATACGCTCGGGTGAGCGAGCAGCTTTGATGCTCTAACTGTAAGCACTTTGTAACAAAGTGCTTTACAAAATGTAACAAAATGCGTTACTCTGTAACAGAGTAACGCATTATGACCACATCCATCGTGGGCCAATGATCTCTAGAATTGAGGCAGGGGCTGGCAAAGGAAGACGTACCCCATTCTAGATGAAATGTAATTATTAGGCGAATTCTAGGCGGATGCTTGCCAGTGAACAGGCTGCAGCAGACACAGTCACACGACGACATCTCCCTCACGTCCAGCGGAGGAAAGCATCACCACAATATCGCCGCCGGGTCGCCATAGTTACTATTGAGCTCTACTGGGAAGAGCACTTGCCACATCGTAGAAGTAGCTGTCACAGCATCAGCTGGAAGCAAAGAAGACAATGCCTGGAGGAGCCAGATATCGAGGAGGCTAAGGGTATATCAAATGCCCAGGAGTGGCTATATCTTACGCTTTCTCATCAATAACAGAATAGCAAACACGCATTGAACGCTTATCGTAGTTGCGAAATATTTAACAAATACCCTCTACCATTCACAAGTGGATTTTAAGAAGAAGCTGAAAAAGTATCAAGACTGTTCCAGCGGCCGGAATCATTTTCAAAGCGTTGCGAACTTGAGCGTTTTCTTTTTTTGTAGAGTCTAAATGCTTTTGTTAAAGCTTATTTCTACGAGGCTGGTTTACTTGTGATTTAGTCCGATTCGTAATGGCTGGTAACAATAATCGAAGCTGGCTTATTGGCCATTAGTACCTGACAGGAAAAGATAGCTGTTAACTAGCATCACTGTGAGACAGAGGTACGAAAGAAGCAAAACTATTGACAGACAGAATACATTTCTATGTAATCGTAATTCATTCTTTGATGTATCCGTGAACGGAAACTGTGCTGCAATTTTAGTATCCATTTATGTGTGAACATACACCTTTGTGTTTAGATTTCGAAGAGGGAAAGCTTGCGTTGCATTGATTAGACTTCCTGTGTCTAAACGAGTATGAGGTTTTAAAACAACGGCAGAGAATTGGATTTTCGTTGCTGCTTCAGGAGTGTAGTTATTATTTATATCTACTGATTCCGTTATTCTCTAGGCAGCTCTATCCAACTTTAAATGCTGGCACTAGAAAACGTTATTGTAGTGTCTATCAACGTTTTAAATCCCTCTCGGCCGCAGCAATAACGGGACCTTTTCTATACTCTAAGGGTCTAATGTTAGGAGTAATTACAGCGGATATTGTCAATGATCCCAGGCCGTATTTTATTATTACACGTATTCGGACACGATTCTAAATTATAAATTACAATAGAGATGCGAAATAACTTGATGCCACTACCAGAAAGAAATAAGTTAGGTTCGTAGAATACCATGAATGAACGATCAAGAGCTCTTATTAACAGAGTCCATGTTAGTAAACTCGAATTTCTTTGTGTGATCATAAGTAACGTAATCCCGTGTTTAGGTTGAAAGACAGGCTTAATTTCCGTATCGATTGGACTTAGATTATTCCAAATAGTTTTTTAAGGACTTTTCTTTTTATACATTTCTCTCGCTTGTTTACCGAGCTGCAACGCTCATTGTACGTATGTCGACCCGGCCTACCTAGTTTTTCTGTGAGAAATACAAAAGCTAGCTTTGATATGAGTTTACAATCGCAAAAGACATTTTAGATTTCCAAATGCCATAGTATGGAGAGGGCAATTTTTGATCCATTATAGATTCTATATATTAAGTCTCGAGATTTTTACAGCAAATCTGCTTTTTATATTCTAAATCAATTGGTAGCGTAGAGAACTGCAGGCTAGCACACACAAGACTACAAGAGAAATCAAAATATATCGGGACAGCTAAAGGGACGAATGTGTGTATCAACATTGTATTACATATAGTCAAATTAAATTTCAACTTACATTACCTTAGTCTTCCATCCGCGGGTGATGTAATGGCAAATAGTATTTTTTAAGCTTTGCAATGTTTATTTTTAGGGAAAGAGAGTTATGCTAGGTACGCACGGCCAAGCTTAGCAAAGCAGTATCTGTCGAGCATGGGCCGACGAGTGTGAAGCTCGGATCCGACGGGCGGACTTCATTGCGCTGACATCACTACTCGATGATTCTTCATTTCTTTCGTTACCCCGAAAAGTGCGTCTTTTTAATTAATGGTACTAAATAGAGACTGTTAAACGGAGATCAGTGCCTTCGGATCATTGGGCTAAGACTACCTTGATTGGGTTTACGACAGCGCCAGAAGAGCCATATTTAATGCATTCGATATTTCGTACCTTGTACTTTTACCTCTTTCAGCAGAATGGTCGCTAATATGATCATCATTTCGTATCCTGCAATGAGGACGCATAGTGAATTACCGGAATGTGCCCAGGACCTCTGGGTTCATCGCACTCGTGTAAAAATGCAGAGAGCGCTCACTTCTGCGGCTGAAAAAATCGCCACATCTGAAAAATACCTAGCCTATGAGTTTTTTGATTTATCAAGCTCGTGCGTAAGTATCGGTCGTATCCATTCCAAGTTTATTTTGGACCATCAGGTATTATAGACCATTAGAATGACATATGACTCACATTTGCTGGACAAAATGGTTGTCATCATTTTGTCCTGATTACAAAATTTCACCTTTACTACGCACTGCAGAAATGCGTACTATAGAGCAAATAGCAAAGTGAAGCTCTTAGATGGTTTATGAGGACAGAAAAGACCTGGGTGGAGCGTGTACAACGATAACTTTGTAGCTGACGGTATTATTCAATCACGATTTTTTAGCTCAATAACTGAAGCTTCGACCCAGTGAACTTATTTTACTCGAAATTTGTTAAAACTCAATTATGATATTGATATTTGTCCATGTCATCTGTGATGATTATATTTTTTTTGTAAATAAACTCTTCATGCAAGCGTAATCGCTATGGCAATCTTCCTCATTTTGGCGGGCAGAGGAACTGAATTATTGTGTCGGATTCTGCGTACTGTTTATCCCGTACACGTCTCATTCGAAACTTTTGAATCAGTCGGCACGAACGCTGTCTCGTTTTCCTGTCCGACACCATACTAATGTACTGGGTTGTGTTTGGGGTTTCTTGATACAGCCGATTTTCTAATACCGGTATTTATTTCCAGGATTACTTCATTTTGGCTCATCAAGGTTCGTATTAAATCATTTGAAATTGTCAGAATATTTTTTCGTCTAAAAACGCTTAGTCAGGAAACATGCGCGAGTATCTTTTGAGAATAGAGTCGTATATTTAAAAAGGGCATGTAGATTGAACAAAGTGTAATCTACGAATTTCTGCGAGGGATACATGTTTAGAACCGGCGTATAACTGGTTACGGATTATATCAGCGCTCTGGTGTATGGTGCCCGTAAAACTAAATGGATCCGAAATTATCTCTAAAATGTCGATATTATCCTTCATACCCTGAATTCGGTACCACGATGCATACAATAATATTACGGTGCAGGTCACAATCATGCGTAGCTTGTGTGCATTATTTATATGAGAAAAATCTTTAGTGATTTTTGTATCGGGTGCGTGGTATTTTAATTCATTTTGCTGAAGTATGTTTTTTGAACTTCGTCAGTTTATTTCGTGCATTTTAATAGAAAGAAAAAAACGCGGTACAGTAACAAACTCTATTGTTGCGGACAAAAATGAACATTATTTCATATTTCGGCTGCATTCTAAGCTAATCGATTATAATATTAAACCCTTACTTGTTAAGTTTAGCGTCTCTTACATGTAAAAACTTTCTTGAAAAACCTTCACCGTATGATACGCGGCTAAGGAGGTGAATGCTCACAGTATATGATACATTGTTACATTAACTGAGACGAAGTTAAGTCCAGCTTCATTTTGTATCACGTGTGTAACTCCTTCCTCATAATCTGGTATTTACAGGTACCGATTAACAGATAACTGCGGAGCCTAGTACGCGATGCATAAGGGGTGATAATCACTCCTCGAAGAATTGCTCACAACCGTAAAAAATCGACCGGAATTGTCTTCATTTATGTTTCGGAACGAAACATATGCAGATTCAACAAGCTCGATCAACTCTTCGGCCATCATGTCGATCGCACCATATAATGTTATAATCATCTTTACACAACCTACATGTCATCGAATTGGAAGTATTTACAATTTACGAATTACAACTGATAGAAACGAGGTCTACTTAATTTCTAATTTTTTGAAATTCTGCTAGCAGCATAATGCAAAAACACAGAGATAGAGAGAAAGAAATAAAAACACAGTTTTATTAAATCATCCGAAGACACCACTTTTATTGTCCTGGTTGAGTTTTTCACCTTACTATCATCGTCATCATCAGCTTTTTCGTTTTCGTTTCGTCGTCGTCGTCAATATGCAATCGTATTTCATATTTGTTTTCAGCAGCTTGCTGGTCGCAGCACCATATGTCTGTCTAGCTGTGTATGTGGGTCTGTGTGAAGTGTTTACATATCTGCGCTCTAAATGTCTAGATCTATATTGCATGTCTGTATTCGCTACAGTGTTATGTTGTAAAGAACATATTTCGCTTTCATATCCCTTCTTTCTTCTTGTTTTACTTTCCTTTCATCCTGCCATTGTGTGTAGTTAATATTTTTTCATAGGCTCATTACTGTGCTTTCACGGAGGTGGCCAACGAAAATGATTCGTACTTGAAGATACTACCGCAATTTTTAGTTATTGTAATTATTCATATGGAGAGATGTATGTGCATTACAGTCACAGCATAGTCTTACTTGTAAAGTAGCCATAATTCGAGGGCATTACGTGAACTGCAATGAGAGAGAGAGAGAGAAAAATTGGGGCAGCCAGAGTAACATAAAAATCATCATCATCATCATTGTTGTTGTTGTCGTCCGGACTTACCATTCGTGTCCACCCCCTGCGAATGCAAAAGTGAAGCCTGCTTGTATTGCCATGAACATACCAAAAACGCGCACGCGACCAGGTGATTTTTACTATACACGTTCGTTATCGCATAGAGACGTCCTATAATGCAGTAGTACATAATTCTAATGATAGATGTAGCTAGAGGCGGGCGTATAGTACAGCCTAGGGCCGATCATACTACATTATACTCATACTTAGCTCCATTCTATCAATTTCAGTGTCGTTGACATCAGCGCTTTCTAATTCGTCATTTACTCCTTCTTTTCGCAAAGTACTTTTTAGTTATCAATTCGTAATACAATAGTAATAATAAAAATGAGAGATGTAACTGTGCTTCGTGCTGCCTGTAAGCAGTTACTATCATCCATAAAATGATACCAGTAGTAATAATAGTAACAACGGTTATGATCCTTCACTGTTATTTGTCCCCATGTGTACATTGTATGTACTATCCGCTATTTTCAATGTTTTTATGCTATGTCATGTTTACGTAATGCCTTGAATGTCTGTTAATGAATAATGTATTATTATTATTATTATTATTATCTTCTCTTGTCAAACATTCTTACTAACCAACATCGCTCATTATCATTCAGTTTTCTCAGTCTACCATCAGTACGTATCCCTACACTTTACTCGAGGAATTTAATTATCATTTAGTTTACCGCAAAGTAGCGGCGGTGATAACAGCAATACAAATTTGCCTCCTGACTTTTTTATCTCATTAATTTCTGTTGCCGCCGCCGTTGATGATGATGCTGTTGGTAATTAATAACCCTTCTTTTGCATGTGCCCTCATGTATGGTACAATGGTAACGTGTTTTTCTACTTAACTTAAAGACACTTGATGTGGTTTACGTTCAAAATCTTCTTCGGAAAGATGTGCCCGTACACGCCAAACGACCCCCTCCCCAAAACAGATCTCCCGAACTGTCTCAAAAGAGCTAGAACCCTCAATTTTCGGGCTTTTCCCAAAGATCAAAATTTAAATACGAATTCGTACATGAATACAGTATGTCGTACTGCGACGCAGCCGTCAAAAGCATTCATGCGTAACGGTAGTGATGCTTTAAAACGGCGCGTAAAATTCGAAAAATTCATTTTGCTTGTAAACAGGACGTAGGCACATTCCCGCCGGAAGGGCCAGTTGTATGAAACAACAATGCGTAACTAAGCAATAGGACCGGACCACTCGAAACAATACGTGTTGTTTATGGGAATGATCTATGGGTGTAAGTCGACCCATTGGTTTCCTTTCGCAGATAAATGGTCTCTTTCTGGTCTACGCCATCTTTTTTCCATCATCTCTGTTCAATGTTTCACCGTTCTCGGAAAACCACAGCAGTGTATTAATAATAGTATTAAAATAATATATGAAACGGTACATATTTTCTTTATTTACAGATGATGTTGTGTGATCTACCGGCCTAAAATGTAGGATAATGGTAATCGTAAAATAACACTCATTAAAACGTACAGGTAATAGTATCTTATGCACAGGCAGATCGGCCAAAGCTTTACTCACTTCTTTTGTGATGTCCTATGTGGTACCGTCATTGAATTATCCGTACGGTCGTGGTCAACAAAAATAAACAAATGTTGTCGTTCCATTTTGCTTATTGAGAAGGCAACCGCACGGGCAAAGGCTCGCCGTTGGTGCCTTAGGCTCAAGCGGCAGCGACAAATTAGGCTCATCAAGTTGTCCTCGCTGCATTTATCCGATATTTGGCTAATTCAGGTATACGATATATGTATAATAGATGTATTCATTTAAGCTGAGCGGTTGGCTCAATGCATCAATCCACTGCTCAGTAACCCACCCGAAACAAGAAGGCAAAACCTGCTTACTGCTAAGTATAATACTACGCCTCATACAAATATAGCATAAAAGTAAGATTTTTCCATAGTATACTACTATAAGAACTATCAATTGTTTTTTTTTGTTTGTTTTCATTAATAATAATGTAATGATGAATGAGTTAACTGATGTTATTTTTGGGCACTTGACCCGTCAGCACCAGGTCGTCCAGTCTGTCCTCGTCTCATCTACAGTCTAGCGACATGTGTGCCTGTACTACACATATTCGAACTCGAAGATCTACCTCCAATCTACCCGTTTTTGTTCAACCCATTTCGCTTCGGCCACAATCAATTCTTCAAAAAGTACTTAAACAATTTGTTTGCGCATAACAACGACTAGACATCGAAGACACCATCTGTGACGAGATATGTACGTGTTTAATGTGTTTGTCGGATTTAGCCGCCGTTTAGTTATAATAATAATAATAATAATTATGAGCTTATAATCAGTCCTTACGCTTTTCTTGTCATCATTATTTTCGTGCAGAAGTTGCACCGGTTTGATTTTATTCACAGAATCGAGTTAACTACAGGTGGCAATCATTTGTCGAGGTGTATATTAGCACACCGTCCACTATTTCGAAATATGTCGTATATGTACACCGATAGGGGTTGGCGATTTAATTGTCTGTAATTTCGTCATCCGCCACAGGTGACTAGACGTCAAGATTGAATTTGCTTTTTGATGTTGTATTTCACACCTAGAACACGCAGCAAAAAGTCTACAATCGGTGATTACAAGAATTATTGCCGCTTGGGAGACTTAGTCGACCTGTACGGGACGGAGAGCCTTTTTAAATAGGATTATCGATTAATTACTTAATAGTTTGTATGCGGTCTTGAGAACCTCAATGAATGACGTCACAAAAAAGGTTGTTATATGTCCTTGTCGAATGTTACCGTTCTGTTATTAGTTTGCTCCAAAATCCCTATATCAACTGAAACAATGTACATTTAATAAGTGATATCTGATGGGCAAAAGTGATTAGAAGTCAACGCATAAAAATCACCCGCAATAGGTCCTTATCCAAGCATCGTTTACTTCTTAATTTATTAGGTATTATTAAGAAAAACACTGCTCCAGTGAGTCTCCACTTCTGTTTTTTTTCTTTTTTTTTTTTTCTATTGTATTGTATTTTTCTATTGTGTTGTATTTTTCTATTGTATCTAGTGTATTGACGAATACATTCCCATAATCTGTGAGTGTTTTGTGATTGTTTCTTCTAGTCATACCATATGCCTCACCAGCAACAACGATCATAGTTTGTCAGGGCTATTGCTTTTCGGCGCACACGATACAGTAATAATTAATGAATGAATGATTTATGATGGCTAAGGTATATGTCACAAACTGGTCTAATTATGTGGAGTACTTTCATTGTTATATTAGTCTGTGTCTTCATTGTTTAAAGCTAAACACATACGTAGACACGCAGGCCGCTCAAGAAATTTTGCCCGGGGGCAATAAAATTTTCTTATCAACTATTGACAGCTTAACCTTTCATTACAATAATTTTAGTGATGATGTTATTATCACTATAGCTTCGTTGATTATGACGTTTTTAGTAATATCGTCTTTTGTCCAATGCGAACCCCCTGTTATAGCGACGTTGCCACAGGGCGGCAACAGCAGCAGCTATCTCACGCAGCCTCCTCATAATCATATGAACCCATTTTTGTTCAGTGAAACCTTTCCTTCACCAAATAAAGTTTCACTTGAATATAAATGATCCGAGGCCATTACGATAGTTAAAGACAGCGATCCTATGCGTTTGCAGTACTAGCAGATGTACGTTATTGTAAAATGTCAGATATTTCTCTCTCGACGTAAATTCTGTTGACACGTTGTCAAAGAAGCAATTTCAATAAAATCAGTTGTCACTTAGAACCTTACTTAATGAATTAATACTTAGAAGTATTAATTATTGTAAAATTTTTTTATCGTCGCCGTTGCCGCCGCCATCGTTATAATTGACGCTGCCGACTGCGTAATACCACAGCTCAATAATGCCTGTACTTATAATTGCAATCCTGCCCCTAATAAAAGCTATTACCGTTATCGTCATCGTCATCGTCGTTATCAATATAATAATTTATCTACGCCAATGGAAATAAACCACCGGTCGCAGTAGTGTATTTGTCTAACTTTTGTTTGTTTCAAATCGACCGCCTTTTTCTCACTCCGCCTTTTATGTATCCTCGCTCAGCACAGTTCAGTAGATTTTAAATTCAGATACGTAATAATTACACTAGTCATAATAATCACTAACAGGTCATCGTCTTGAATACAAGGTCAACGTACTGGAGATAAAAAGAGATTGGTGGACTGTGTTACAACTGTGGTTTTTTTTTTATTATTACTCTTGTCACTTATCGCATTCGTTCGTCCACAAAAACTCATTCACTCTTAATTCAACACATCAGTCAATCAACCATTAATTAATCTATCGATCACTCATTGGTTCATTCATAATTTATTTATCCGCTTAAGAGACTGCTCTGAAATCAGTCACTTTCCTCGACTAATTCTTCCTCATCATGACATTTACTACTACTGCTGCTGCTTGTTTACTGTTGTCGTGCTGAGTGGTACTGATATTGTCGTTGTTTCTGTGTTTTGTCCTGTTAGCCTTTGTCGTTTGTCAGCTTCCATACACGTTGGAGACCAATAGCTGTGCGCCTGCCCGAAAATTCTTTCTTCTACTTTCCCTTTTTCACACATCACATTCCCACTGATTTGCCGGCCATCATGGAAATTAGCTGCTCCCCAAAACGCGCTCACATGTTTCCATCATCAATTATGATTAGCTGAATCAATTATTCATTATCATTATAAGTGGTTTTGGAATGAATCGACCATCTTATTGGCCTCTCTACTTGTGGCGCCCTGATCTGTTCACCCCGACGTCGTTTAAGGGCCGAAATGAAAAATAAGGGGAATGCGGAGTAGGAAGAATTTCGGGAAAGCAGGAGCAGTTCTGAGACTAAAACAAAGAAGAAAACTCGTTGATGAAGGAGAAATTCGTCGATTATTTAGAAAGACCGTTCTTATTCTTGCTGTCATGAAATTCGTATTACTGTTATTGCAAGAACATGGGGAAGATGCCGTGGATGGGTAGCTATGTAGGGCGCCATGGGTGTGGTAAGTTCACCAGATCACAGTTAACGTCGTCAGCAGTAGAGACACGCTTTATTCCGTTATCATAGTTCCTACATTAGCATAATGACCTACTGCAATAATAATAGTGTATTAACGGGATCGTGTTATACATCAAACGTCATACCGTTAATCCCCTCTCTATTTCTCTTTTCCCTTTCCCCTGTCTAGCATCATCATCGTCGTTGTCGTCATCATCATCATTATACACCACACGTTAATAGTTATCCAGCTATCTATATATAATATCCATATTCGTCAATCATATTCATTGCTACAGTACATAATGATAATTAATAATAATAATATGGTAATTCACATGCACACATTTGTTGTGGTAGGTGTTGTTGTTGTTGTCGTTAATGTCGTTTTTTGTTGTTGTATTTGTTTTTTTCGTTACATATCTATTTGCAGGATTTTTCTAGTCCCCCACGGCGGGCTGGGGTATTTTGATCATCAAGGGAAAATTATCGTTGTCCAAAACAATGACTTCGATCTTGAACCCTAGTCCGCCGTAGAGGACAATTAAAAAAGTAACAGCCAGTATTAACCATCCTCCTTGGGCGGCGTGAACCAGCCTGAAAACAATTGCGCATAAGAGAAACGTTGAACCGACTTTATGTTAAAAAGAAGATAATAGATTAAGTGCAAGCAACGCCTTCGTATAACTTTTTCAAATGCTGAAGCTGAGACCTGAATTCTAAAAGCCATGTCCGGACGCACAATTCGATAATCTTCATGAACTTCAGAGATATTTCGATCAGCTCTTACGCACACCAACAGATAATTTCGCTGATTTCGAGCATCACTCAATAATACAAATATTTATTATTAAGTTCTGTGATAACAGCTACGTACGATGAATAGGGTGTAAGTTGGCTAGATTTTAAATTACATATATTTTTGGCATGTCCTTGATGCCCCGAATATAATATATATTGTGTCTCTTCAAGAAAGCCCAGTAAGTCAGGTTCTTGCTAATGTGGGACCCTATGAGCCTTACCGTTCTTTTCATGTATTTGGACGAGACTTTTGAAACTCTGTTGCGCCCTAGCAAGAGAGTACTGGCCTTTGTTTCCTCCGAATTGAATCCGTGCTTTGCCTTTAACCAATGTAGCCGCAATTTGTAGAATAATTGCTTCTACTGTGTACGCAGAGCTCCAGCCCTGTTTCGTTAAAAGCTCCATACAAATAGCCCCGCCTCCGAGGACATAACCGCCCGATATAGCCGGCGCTACCACCCGAATGAATGGAGGCTCAAACGGATAATTGTCCTGAAATAGTCAGAGATTAGGCGAAAAAAAAAACATACACTATTAGTGCAAATTAACATTTATGGCTGACAAAAAGATTGTAGAGAACCAGCATGCCTTTTGATGATAGTGATTATCATTGTTAAGTTGAATGGAATCCTAACTATCAAGTACACTGTTGCATTTACTAAATGAGCAAAACAAAAAAGATAGTTACTCATATTAAGCGGTCTCAACTCATTAACATCTTAGGCCCTTATACGCTGAACGTGACTTGTTCAAGAACTTTGAGGCATACTATGAGACGTCGATATTTTCATCAAAGCTATTTCTACGATTTTGGCCAACGATAATTGTGTGGGTGTGTTGGAAAAACTAGTCATACTTTGAAGAGCATGTTGAGTAAAATATGATCCTTCCCCTCCTTTTCCCTGAGTATGTTCATGTCGGCGTGCAGCGGCGAGTCTGGGTCCACCCGGAAGAGCTTGACGTTCCATTCGTAGAGCGAGTCGTTGACAAGCTCAACGGCGAACACGCCGCGTTTATAGCTCTCGCTGCGGTACACCTCCTTGAGCTCCTTCATAAGTCGGTCAGTCGCTTGAACGGATCCCGATACTGAGCCCTTCAAGTAGTCCTTGCGCTGATTCTGTCTCAGACGCTCCAGTGTCACCACGTGCTCAACAGATAGGCCAGCAACTACGAAAACGCACGTACATTACATAACAGTTGTTTAGATGCAGGTGCTGACACAGTGTACAATATCCACGTGCTGATACACTGCATGGAAATTAAATTACGATTCAAGCGACAACTTCCATTAGAGGAACAAAATCTTATTTCCCTTTCCTTATGAAAAGCCCGGATTATTATTGTTATTATTATTATAACGACAGCAATGATGGAGATAGTCATACGGTGAACCAATAAACGCCAAACAACACCGATACGGTCAACCACAACATATACACAATAGCAGCGGCGTTCGATCTAATGCGCATGACTATTTGAATGATGATCCAAAACGCGCGCCACTAGCTTGCGGCGTCGCATCTCGACGAAGCTCGTTGAGGATTATATCATCTAATGGTGTCCGTCATAGGGCGCATGAACAAGTTTTGTACTCCCATGTAGCTGCCAACAACCTGTCGCTGTTTTTGTTACTGCAGCAGCTCTTAACAGCAGCGTGCCACATTAATAGGTCGCAAGGCCAGCTTTGAGTTAGGGCATCTTCGCTGATTGTTATCCTAGTAACAAAAGCAGCAGTAGCAGGAACAGCTCAGATACTAGAGTCATGCGTACTGAGCAGAATTTGACAATACTTTTGCTGATATTTTTTTTGTTAGAAACGACAAACGGCTCATGTGTATAACTTTTTTTTGAAATGCTTAAGTACGCAACGCAGCTTTGAATAGCGTAGACAAATACGTGACAAATAATAGCTTCAACAAATGCTAGATAGATCCTCTTCGCAAATGTTTTTATGATCCAATTGAAAGTGCCAATAAGAGCCGAGCTGTTGAACATTAAAAGCAGGGGAGCTTATTCCTATGATATACGCCAATTAATTTTCCTATTATAGAATGAATAACAGCACAATAAAGATGCAAAATCTATTATTTTACATGACTATTTCAAACTATGAAAAAGATATACGAAACTTCACAAAATAACGTAGGGTTCCGATAATTCTAATTACATTTTACATAACTGCACTACGGAAGAAATATACAGATTCAGAGTGCAGCGTCTTTGTTGCTGTAATAGTTTGTGCGGTACCTTCATCTTTGCTTTTGTCAGCAACGCTTTCTTCTTCCATTTCGATGTGCATATCCATATCTTCGAGATCTTCCTCGTCGTCCGACGGTGCATCCGACGGCGCCGAAGGGGGCGGTGATAGCAGGATCGACGATGACGCTTGTTCCATTTTCTCCAGCTCGAGCGGCTCCGAAAATGAGTGCAACTTGCACAACTCTCGTACTAGAACCCGGACCTAAACCCGTTTACCAGCCGTAAACAAAAACAGAAACAGTACTTATTTTTCGTTATTCTCAAACTGCTCTACCTAATATCGGAATTGAAAATATCTGGTAACCAGAAATGTTATAAGCAACGTTCTTAATGGCAAATATGTGTATATAGAAGTATAACAAAACTATAAGTCTCTTAATCTGATATAAAGTTATAAGTATATTTAAGCAGATCAAAGACATGTCAAACGTTTAAAGATTGTTACAGGTTAAAGTTTCTCATCACAAAAATGTATTTGACTTCAATAAATATATATAAATAAATATAATAAACATAATAAATAAATAAATAATATATTAAAAATGATAAAAATAATAGCGACGGGACGTTATCGAAGATGTTTATTATATTTCTAAAACTCAACAGGTTGCGGGCTGAAGAGTCAAAGAGAAGGCCTAATTATATTACAACAGTTATCTCCATGTAAAGGGAAACGTAAAAGGATAAACAACCAAATGCGTTTAGACGTAGTAAGAGTTGAAGTAATTCGATAGATTTTGCTTTTGAAAAACTTTACCATTTACGTTACCATCCGTTCGACTCTTCAGACATTTCAAGATATGAGCTCGTCGCAGTAACGGAGGATACATATTCATTGCATGCACGCGTATATACATAGTACGACACCTAAATTGAGGCTTTGTTGTTAAGACTACGTATGAATTAGGACAAGTATTTCAACGAAATGTTCCATATTTATTATAATAAAATTACTCACTAGTCCTTTATTAATCCGCAAATAACTTCTTAATAGTAGTTGTGCAATATTAGTAGGAACTTATCAACGTATCGCTCAGATACGATGCATACAAAAAATGCTAGCGGAATCAAATTTTGTGGTGGTAGAAGGATGGATCTTGGATTTTTGATCTTAACAGATCTTCATCTAGCATAAGGTGATCGAATAACGGGTTTTTCTTGCTCGGTTTGCAAAAATGACGCATTATTTTCTACCATAACAAGTTCATTATTTTGTTATAGACAGAACAGGCTTTCTTCCAGCTTCAAACAAGGGGGGATCGACATATGCCTATTACGACAAACATCCCAGAAAAATTTGTCCTAATGTAGGTGCCTCATCCTATAGGAATTAGGGCGCTACAAGCAAATTCGGCGCACTTTGAAACTGAGTAACAATTGAACTAGTCGGGCTAGCATGATGATTTTTCAATATATGTCAGAGGTAGCTTCACCTATTTTTCTTACACGTGCCCTAAAGCTCTGGTAGTTTCTAGACACTCAGGTACCGCTCGCACTCCTATGTAATTTGTCAATCTATGGCTTTCAAAGCATATCGATAGTAAGATATGCTTACCCACCGGTTGTTTTCAGGAGTAGAAAACCTCGTAATCACATGGATCTAGATCTAGAGAGTCAGTTGAGTATTCATTTGTTCAGTTTTACACTTTTTTACAGTTAAGGCAGGGTGATGAGGTCTGGCGCTGTTATAAAGAAATCATGTGCTTTCGATTGCCATATCAATGGTACACGAAACTTTCGAAGAACTCGAGATAGCGGGCTACATTCATCATTTCATTTTATAGTAGCTGATGCTTCTGATGTCCATTGCAGGTACTATCATCACTATTCATTCGATTCTACTCGGCTTATCTTCAGGGCTACTGATTCCCTCACCTGGCCCCTTTTCTTTTAGCGGTAAACCATGCCTGGTCTATGGCGACTGTATCCTCCAAACAGATTCTTGTAAATTACTAATTAAATACTCTTCTTATATATGCTTTCATTAAATAATAGATAGTGGATACTTAAGTTTGGCTAGTTGCACGTAGCATATAACATACATATTTTCAAATGGTCTGGAGTCAATTCGCGGAGATGCCACCTTTACTCAACTGTCATATTTTTAACATTTGGGTTATTAATCTATAACCCGTTACACATTAAATGCTAGTCTTATCTGATAAAGATGTTAAAATCAAAGTTCTGCTTTCGTAAAAGGCCTCCTTAATTGTAGCAATTTGTTTTTGCACTTCGGGTCCTGACATCTAATTACCTTCTCTTCAGGACTAATCTCGGCTCTTCAGTTGTTTGTATCACTCATGTGCAGTACTTTTGCTTCAGGCCACTTTATCTGATGGATTCATTATTCTTCGACAAATTTTTGCAGCGCTGTGGCCTTCGAGGAAAAAATTTGATTACTAAACGTTAATTTTCCTTGCGAACCCATACGCCACTCTTAATACTAGAGAAGTTTTTTTCGTGCAATAAAACAACCATTCGTGGTTGATATAGTGTGTTGTTTCCAAAGATCGGCAATTCCCATACCTTTACGTGGTATTAGTTACAGACTAAGATTAAAAAATCTTTGTCTGAATTAACCATCCATATTACTCCGTGGAGTTGCTAAAAGGTCCGAACAAAATTTTCATCGGTCAGAGTGGGAGATGCACACTTTTAGGTTTGGGTTTAAAGGGCTAGGAATTTGACAAAAATTTCACAAAAAGGCCATTTCTAACGAACTTGGATTATTTACAGGTATTAGCTCTTATTTTCGGTATAAAGTATTTACTTATCCATGCCTCTTTGCACCTTTTGGAACTTCCGGCTGTTTCAAATTTCCGATTTTTACGATTCCTGATTCACTATTGGCTTTAATATTGCTACAAAAAATTCCGCGGGCTTCTTGTGCGAAACGCATTTAACCGGCACCATTGCCAAATCTATTTTTGCCAATATATTTGGACAAATTATAGTACAAAGCGGGTAGGAAAAAGAATGATTTAAAAAAAAAATCAGTAAATTGTTTTACATTCCAAATTGAGTCCATCGAAAGGAAAGTCGAATGAAAGACGGTCCGCCAAAAAGCACAATACATACACCGTGCAAACGTTTTAAGAGTCAAGAATGAACTGCTGACGACCAGCCAGGAAATAACCAAATATCAAAATCCTAAAGACAAAAACGTATTGATGCAATCAAAAAAAGACTTTACGAAAGCAAGGTTTAGAGTTTGAGGGCCCTGTCGACCAAGATTAGCATTTCATACGTGAAGTGCTACAGAACCATACCCTAAATACTGAAAATGGAGAACCTGAGTAAAAAGGGTCCCTAATGAATTTACTTCAGGCCAGTAGGAAGCACGTGTGGTACATGCGTAACTTTAATCAATAAAGAAAGCCAGCCTGGAGCCATAAACAAGGTATGATTCAATTTTCATCAGCCGGAAAGGAGCCAGGCGAGAGAATAACGTCGCCCTGCAGAGGAACCGAGTAGGAGTGGACGTAAGGTAATGGTAGTGCTTACAATGGACAACAGGGGCATCAGTTACTACGGGTACTTGCTAATAATGAAACAATGAATACAGCCTGCTGTCTCGATTTCTTCGAAAATTCTATGGATTGTTAACACGGCAACCAATATATGCGATCTGGTTATTTTATGATAATGTCAAACCTCATCGCCATGCCTCAATTACTTCTTCGAGTGACCAAATGAATATCCAAAGTATATTCTCCTGACCTAAGTTCGTGTGATTAGGGGGCTTTCCATGTCCTAGCAAAAGCAACCGGTAGGCAAGCGTCTCCCACTATTGATTTAAGTTACCTATATACACGAGAATTGTATGGTTGTCCAGAAGATGCCAGGGTACTGGCCCAAATGTGTAAAAATATGCCCATTAAGGAAAGCTCACTAGAAAATCAGTCCGGCCCAACTAACTCATTTTAGATTCCCAGATCGATAACACATATTTTTTTTGTGTAAAATGCCATCCGGTCTTGCTCACTAGCATCCAACCGTGTATCTATTATTTTGGTTTAAATTGGCTTTACAATAACTTAATGTCCTCTATATGGCTACAAATAAGATGATTATGTTCTTTCTAACGACTATGGCTATTTATAACAAAAAATTAAGTGCCAGTTGCTCCCGCTTTCAATGGCTTGATTTTTCATTCTGCTTGTGTCCACAATATTTATTGACGATCTCGCAAAAAACGCAGAAACCGCTGTATAGCGTAGTGCAGGAAACACTTACGACTGGCTAACTCTACGGACTACAGCAAACAAGAGGGCTCAGTCGTTAGTGCGCTTTATTTACTGCATCAGCCTAATGCTGGTTCGATTCCCGCTGAGGATGAAATATTTCCGTATAAGACGTTCTTTGTTACCCAGTTGGGATACGACGGTGTAGAAGGCGATGTATAAATAGTAACAGATCCGAAGTATTTAACAATATGGTAATGGTCGCGGCCATAGCCATAACAGCAAAACGTGAGTAAAAGCGGAGGCCGGCTGCAATTATAAGTCATGTATAAAAGGCAAAAGTATCGTGACATATTTAATGCTTCATAGTGGGGCTGACACTCTGCACACGTAAACCTGTTCTTCGCCTCGACAATCAGCGAAAAGTTGGGGTGCGCTCAGCTACAATGTGAGCCCTCACTTCAATGACCCCTGTAATAATACCTCACGATCCATATCTGGAGTGAACCAATACAATAAAAAGCTGGGAGTCACTTGCGGATTAAAAAGCCGTTAGGTATATTGACTTGACTAAGCAGAAAGCTCATCATGGCAGTTATCGAAAAAATTCTGTGTACTGTCTGTAAGATATTCATCGGTACGAGCTCATTTAAAAAAAATTTTTTTGAAGAAAGGTTAGAGGTATCACGTTGTTGTACTCGATAACGAGTATTGTTTGAGCAAGCGAGTAACCGGCGAACTTGAATCAAACTCAAAACGGGTAACTCGATGTTCGACGTACGCACTCGAAGGAAACGCTAGCTTCTGTTTTAGGAGGGGGGGGGGGGTGAGAAATGAGCAACTCAACGTCTATCACAACTGGAAGCCAGTGTTTGACAATCAAGAGTGCTACTCTTTGGCCCATGTATATATTTGCCCATCGTTCATCTACCCAGATAGCTTAGAGGATTTTTCGACTGTAGGGATTGAGGATTTTACATGAAATAAAAAAAAAACCGTTTGTTCACCTGTGCAAGTATGTGGTTGTCCTTTCCTGACGTGTTTGTCAGCATTTGGACGATGTTGGTAATAGCAGGTTCTTCGGTATCGCTGAACCATACCGGCGGCGTTTGGGGATACGTTTCCTGTAAACAACAAAGAACAAATTTATACTTCACTAACATGGTACGTACAACATAAGTACAATATATTGCGTTATAATATTATTTCTAATTTGTTTCGCATTATTGGCATTTGTAATTCATCACTGTACCGTATTACTTAAAGGTACTCGGCGTTTTCAATTATCTGCTGCAAATTCAATGTACATCCATTCAGAAAATGTTCTTACACGGCGAGATGATTCGAATCACCATACTCCATGCCTTTGTTTTTAGCTGGGAGATGGTCAGTGCTCCGGAAATCGACTATGTTTTTACAGCAGAATTTCATCAGTTCATTTATTGCAGTGCCTCTGTAGAGAGACAGACAGTTACTTCTAGTTTAACAGTTAAGTTTTCGCTTTACTGAAACACAAGTTGTGCCTAACGCAAACATTATCTAGACAGACTCTTCTCATAATTGAAAAATGCTAATTATAAACCTGATTGAGCATCAGAAGATACGTCAATTATTGCGGTAAGGGACAGATCTAACTGCGCAACGCTTGTAACAGAAACACCATTATACCACTTCCGAAAAAACTCTAGGTAATTTGATGTTATCAATAAAGCCATTTAAACAACTACTATAGGCGTTGTCGTAAGTATCACAATTTAAATAGCATATACCTAAAAAATATCTAAAAAAGGCTATGAAACTATAACATTGTCTTTTAGGAATTACAACGATGGTATTAGGACACACCCGCTACAAATGTGTTGCACATATAAATCCGCTCCTTATTAGAGCCATTTAGGTTTCGCGTGCTACTCTGATAAACGTTAAATGACAGATCTCTAGCCGTGAACAAGTTTTTCCAAATAGCCTACACGTTCGCCTCGCCCTCTAGATATACAAGTAATAAATCTAAGCTTAGCATAATATCTTAGAAAAGAATCCGTTCGTACTTATAACTTTCTTTTTGCTTATGCCTTACATACATAGGCTGATCAAAAATGAATATTTTTGTCGGGCTTTCAGGTGATGCATAAAAAATGTAATACTAGATATGGTGAGCTAACAGCAACATGTTACACATGATCCTGTGCCTCATTGGGTGTATCTTGCAAACTTTCCAAATCACTGAAGCATCGCAGCCAGGCTGAATCGAACACGGTTTATTTTATTTGGCAAACGTGTTCTTTCTTACAGCGTCCGCAAATTAGGATAACGAAATTGTTTAGAAGCAAGTATTCTCCGTTGCACATAGTGGTTATTTACTCATTTAAAATGCGGTAGCTTGTTTACTTAAACATGCACGGAATTCATGTATGTTTATCGGCGTACAAGCCTGTAGCTCCAGCGCCGTTTTTGTCCCCCAAACGTTTTTATAGAGCTCATATTTTTTATCCATACTGAACACATGTTTATAGAATGCATAAAAATCAGTACATCTCAGTGTCTAGAGGGGTGTCGACACAAATACTGGTATATATCCAATAAACACGAGCTTACACGGAACTCACAAGAACCAAAAGCTACTCCGGAAAAGTTGCCAGCATATCGCGTACGTTCGTTGCTATGTTGACGTTTTAGTAAATAATCAGATAAAAGCAGGTGTAGTAGACGTATGACATATTGGTAATTCGCTAGTTTTCGTGGTATCGGTATCAGGACGATTTGCGATCGTTGTTGCTACTATAAACTTGCAGCCTGGATGTTGCGAAAAAAGTCGTCAGAACGCCGCAGTGGCAGCAGCAGCAAAAGAAAAAGCGCGTCAACAAAGGTGGTAGGAAGACTGCCGAAAGACAAATTACGAGGGGAAGGTGGCACACCAAGCCAAGGGGGTGTCCTTATCAGTAGCGTTGAAAAAGGTTCGATGGAAAATAGTTCAGTGGTTTAAGTTACCATAATGATAGCATTCAGCGTTATTAGTGCCCGCCAACTTTGCTACCCTGGTCACTCCCATCATCTCCTCTTCCTCGTTTGCCCTCCTCCTTAACGTAACTGGTTTCTACCACCAATAATAAGAACGACGACTAGCTAGTATCGAGCGATCAATGATGGCAGGTTACCTTCTTATTACCTTGTTATGGTAGCGTCCCATATGATTTGGCTGTACAAAACGATGAGTGGAGTAAGCTAGCATAGCGTGAGACTTACGTTGAAAAATATGTTTTATATCCAATAGTATCTCTATTAGTCACTATCTATAAGGTTACTTTGTGACAGACATCCTTCACGCTCTTGCTCCGAGACTTCCATAGCGCATATTTGTGTCAAAAAGAAATGTTTTTCTTTACACACAAGTATATCTAGCGTTTGCAACTGCAACAAGGCTTAGTTACTCATTCGGCTAACAGGAAAATAGACAAACTACTGACGGCCTTTGTCGTGTGGACCTACACACATAATCACCATTTTCGCAATAGAGAGAAACGAGATTGCGGTGACAACGATGGCGATAGCTTCTGTGACGCAGTACTCAGAAAGCAGGTCGACATTGGTTCAGATGTTTACGATAAAAATAACGACGGATTACGTAGATGTATCTTTCGAATAAATAAATATAGGGCAAGCAACGGATAGGCGGGCTTTCTTTTTTAGTGTTTTTAATTTAAATTCATATCTGTAATTAATTTTTTATTAGCTCTTTTAGCTCAGCTCATTAGCTTTATGGAAAAAGCACATCACAAATATAAAGCAGAAATTACAGTTTCATGCTTTAGGTTTAAATCGCAGTAAGGATCAAATAAAGCGCTCAAGTGGCAACGAATTATTCCATAATAATAAACAATTATAAGAACGAAAAAGAAAATTATGTTCTCTTTGCTATACACTACATTATTTATTTCGGGTCACATGTAGGGTGGGGGAAGGGGACGACGACTATTTACGATGGCGATCGCAATATTATAAATATCAAAAAACAGATAATGATAATATAAGTACTATTTGATCACTTTAGTCGGATGAATATGAATGCATCTTCACGGCGGGGATTCAGGGAGGAAAAGGTGAAACCCGAAGATTATACTATACGAGAAGTGTGTTAAATGAAAGTTTATTGAGATATATATCACCCAGCATATCTACATGATTATCTGCAACGCAACATTAAATTTCTATTGTTATAAAAAAAAATTGCCTAAACTTCCCGTGTACTAATTTGTACTCTTCTACATTTTTACATTACCAGATTTTCACCTACGCATAGTAAAAGCCACTGTTCTTTAGTAACCGTAATGCAAAAAGTAACCAAAGACCACGTAACCCTTTGCTGCGCCACTACTGACATTACTCTTTTCATAGCCCCATTTACCTTGATGTTTATATCTGCTATAATTAGTTATATATATAAAAAAAATATGTGCGTACCTAGTCGTTCGATACTGGAACAGAGAATCTCATCGACTGAGTAAAGAGCGCTTAGCGGCACCCAGCGAGCCATAGTGCTATAATAACCTAGTTGTATATACATTATGTTTTATAGGTTGTAACTATAACAAACTAAACTGTGGACAACAACTAGTTCCGCACGTTTCCGCTGAACTTTCCTAACCATTTTCCACTGAGGTTAGATGTCCAAGATACTTCACTAACCCCGATAGTAAGAACAGTCTACTTACTTGCCTAAACTCGACCTTTCTCTTCATATAAGAAGAATACGCGTTAAGTATATCAAAGCAACGACTGAAATTAACTCTACAACTCTGTACATGATTTAAATGTTTTTGAATAAGCGTTATTAGCTTACCATTTCTGTGACATTATTTTGCGCTTTATGTTAAATCAATACAATATAGCTGAAAAACGTATGCAATCTACTCATTGATTCTATTTAACATCAGGAGACGAATTATATATATGTATATGAGAAATTGGTGTAAAAGTTCAGGCGCGTGGCTCTATTTAAAGGGATCGATATATCTGTTATAGGTCGATAGTAACGGATAATAGCAGCTGCAAGCCCAAAACTACTCGCTATTTAATAACCTAACAGAGTAGTCCCGGAACTTGACCATGAAGAACAATCGAACACAATTCATACGATCGCTATTTAGCGCCTTTTTCGGATCCCAAGGAAAGACCCAAGGAAAATTGAATTGCGCATGCTTAAAAGTGGATCCGTTTCAATCAACGTCTGTCGCAGCAACATTTCTCATCTTAGGTGCCTTTGGAAACTAAGTGATTCACAGCATATGACTTGTTTCTTGTTAGTATCGTAAATACCTTTAGAGCGAGCAGGTGTAGCACTTTGTCTGTTGTACCTGTTTAAAATAACTACGCCCCAACACAGTAGCTCATTTTTGGAACCATGAAAAATATATCTTAATAAATGAACTTAGTGTAATCCGTGCGTACCCCCATATATATATGTGTTCGTGCTTTTCTACTTATACTACTGAGCCTAGCGGAAACGAGGTGTGTTGAACAATTAAAATCTGTGATGACGGAAGTTGATAATAACAATAAATAAACCTACGGTTACCACCAGTGGGAAGCGTTCTCTAATCCTAAGCAACGTCAACAACGATAAGAAAACAAAAACGATACAAGAAAAAAACAATATTTACGATATACTCTATTTCCTTTTGCACATCTTTACAATAGAAGGGGTCTATCCTCAGTCGTAGGGGACACTGACCGAAATGCCGTTTTTCAGTAACGAAGAATAAAAGTAACCAACGAATGAGAATCACAATAACGAATCACTGGAAGTTGCCACTTTATGACGGCGTTGGTTGCGGTGGCGGGAACGGCTAAACGATGACGTCACTTCCGTATCTTTTTCAGCTTCCACGGGGGCCTACCTGTTGTTATCGTAGTGGCAATGTTTAGCTTTGGCTTCGTGGAAAACAAGATTGCATGTTTTACAAGGGTGTGCGTTTTTGCGAGCGCGAAGGAGGTGATGACAATGACAGTAAAACATATTCAAGTATTTCGTCAAAAAAAACCGACTCTCATTATTATTTTTCTTATTGCCACATGCAACCTGGACGCCCGTTTTCTATAAAGTCGCGTAAACACAATTATTTTTTCA